GCACTGCCTTAAAGATATTTTGATTTTCGATAATGGACAAACATTCATTTCCGTTTAACATCAAACTTAAATCTAATTTAACATTCACGGCGTTCTGTAAAATGTCCCGAATTATTATTAACATAGATTTTCTTTGGTGAACATACAATGTACACTCTAATAAATAATGAAATGCGTTTTCACATGGATTACCACATTGACATATTGGATGACATTTTAACTCTATTCTGTACAAATCATAATTTAACTGGCTTTTCATGTATCTTAATCGAGTATGATAAATATTCAACTTTCTAACACCATAGGAAAAATATGGAGGTGCATTAACTTGCTCTTTTTGTATGTATGTCTTGAAATGGGATGTAGATGTACAATTTCTACCTGCTGCAGGAATAGTGTTCCATAACCTTACAGCTGATGGAATAAAAGAACACGTTGAGTGTTTTAATCTAGTATATGGAATCACAATATTGTCTGAATTTCTGAAATTATGATACATTTGAACCTACAGTGGTTGGTACAATGTCTTTAAGATAGGTTGGGGCAATATCACTATGTATTTTGTAGAACAAACATAGCTTACGTTTCCTCCTTTGTTCTATTAACGTTTCCCATCATGTTTCATAATACAGATGTCTGTGCGAAGTATACTTTGGGAGCCCAGTAACTATTCTGGCAGCTTTTAGTTGGAGATTTTCTAAGTGAGTTTATAATTCTACATTACACCTATCCCACACTTCACACGCATATTCAAAATGGGGTCTTATGAAAATTGTAAACGTACTTTATTTAATGTATTTCTGTTCAATGTGAATTTTAATTTTCTCATTGAATTTATCATTTTTGATGCTGATTTAATTATGTTATCTACGTGAGATGACCACTTTCCGTTTGATGCAAACGTTATACCCAAATGTATGACTTTGAACATTCTTAACTTTACATTCATCAAAGTACAAGGTAATAAGGTCTGATTCATCTTTTTATGAAAATATAACCGCTTCTGTTTTATATGGGTTGTATTTAATTAACCAGCGTTTTGCCCACTTACACAGCTTGCTTAGGTTTAAATTTAGGGTTGATTCAACTAGTTGATTGCCTGGTGAAGAAAAGCTGAGTGCTGTATCGTCAGCAAAGAGTCTTGTTATGCAATCTAATTCATCAGCAATGTCGTTAACAAATACAATGAATAAAAAGGGACCTAACACCAACCCCTGTGGAACGCCAGCCCGCTTACAAACACTTATTGAGTATGATTGCTTATGTAACTAGACAGCCATTCAAGTAAAATTCCCTTTTATACCATACATTTCTAATTTGTACATAAGCCCTTTATGCCAGACACGATCAAATGCTTCTGACACATCTAAAAAAATGCAAGATTTTTCTCTATTATCTAACAATATACAAATTTGATTATACAATTCAATTAATTGATGGACAGTGGAATGGCCTTTTTGAAAGCCCGACTGGTATTTATATAACAATTTATTTTCATGAAAATAGTTATAAAGATGCTTAAATACAACTTTCTCAAACACTTTACCAATACAACTAATGAGTGATATTGGTCTGTAATTTGTCACAACTGAATGTCGCCTTTCTTATATAATTGCATAACATGCGCTCTTTTACATTCTGTTGGATATGCATTTAAAGCCAATGAATGATTGAACAACATACATAGAACAATGCTAATGCTGTTTACTGTTTTCTTTAATAGGTTATGACTTATTCTGTCTGGACCAGATGCCTTATTAATTTGAAGACATTTTATAATGTCAGACATTTCATTTTCCGAGACAGTTAATTTGTCAAAAATACTCTTAGTGCGTTAGTGGATTGGAAATATTCATTTAATCTCTCTGATTTTTCTAAATCTGAAAATATTGTGGGACAGTCATCCGTATCTTGTTTCCTTAACGAGGGAATGCTCGAAGATGTCAAAAGACGACATATCTTAGTAACTTCCAATATGATTGTTTATTTACTATATATAGTTCCGAAAGAAATTCATATCGATGTTAGAATAGAACATTTCTTTCGCATAACATTTCATGTTGTTGACTTGATTGCGTTGTTTTTTGTATGCAATGATATCTGTCTCCTTATTACTCCTTTTTTATTTCTTTCGTAACCTATTACGTTTCCTACGCTCCTTTCTTAAATTGAATCAAACCATGGTTTGTCATTAGGTCGAATAGTGACAATTTTAGATGGAATACATTGTGTTATACATTACATTGTATACAAAATCAATCAATCTTTCATACAACACTTCACACATATCAACAACATTTGTACATTCATTAAATAATACAGACCAATTAATAATGTATATTAGATCATTCAATTTAACAAAGTCTCCTTTGTTATAACATAAAACCTTGCATTTATAAGCTATCTTGGTGCATATGTGTGTGTCCATTTCCATATAGGTACCTCTGTGATCAGATATTGTACTATCGAAGTCGATCACACCACTGACCTTTACATCAACATCTTCACTAACAATGACTGGATCTAAAAGTGTGCTAGATTTAGAAGTGACTCTGGTGGGCTCAACAATTACATTCCTTAATTTTTTCTGTGTAAAATTTTGTTTATATGATTTTTTCTGTTAGACAGTAAGTTTTCATTTAAATCACCGACAATCACCATTTTGCTAGAAATATCCAATGCAACTTCGATAGAATTATCTAAACGACTCCAAAACTGTATAGAATTGTGTTCTGGTCTGTAAATAACACAGAGTAAGAAAATCCCTTGAGGAAGAAATGTTTTTATCCATATACTTTCATCAGTAATATTTTCTAGTTCGTTTATTCTCTTGTATGTTAAACACTTAGTGATATATATCATAACCCCTCCCCCAAAAGCATTTCTATCTTTCCGTACTGGATCATTAAATGATTGCCACAGTAAAGTTTCATTATCTACAGATTCATCCAGATGTGTTTCAGTGAAACAAATTACATCATATTCAGACAAATATTCTGTAAGATACGTTTGCTTATTACGGACACTCCTGGTATTTAAATGGAAGATCGACAATGAGTGGTCACGATTAGTATATATCACCGGTCTGTGGGCCAGGATTAAGTTCAACGTCTCCTGCAAGCTGTATTAACAATAGGAGTACGAGAATTACATTTACATTGCCGAGATAAGCCTGCAGAACACAAAGGCACAGTTGAGTGTTACAAGATTTCACTTCCAGTGATAAAATATAATGCATTATGTCCTGCTCGTTCAAAAGAAACTTTGTGATAGAAGATTGGTAGATAAACAATGGACACAACCTGTTAGAAGACTTTACAACACAGTTGAACACCCCGATCGCAACGCGATACTGAGATATATCATTACCCATATGTCAGTTTTAGTCTGGGAACAGTCATACTTTTTTTGCGGGTTAACGATCGGGGAATATCAGGACGCTGTGACAATATGCTGAGTGAGGAATCAGTATGTACATAGCATGGCAATACAAGAATGGATTGTATATTTATTGGAGTTTTTGTTTTCTGGGAGATGGATGTAGTATGCAGGTCGTAATTTTATTGTTATGTCAAATTATGGTACATCTTATGAGAAGCAGCCTTGGTGGTTTGATAATGATTGTCTGCTAGCTAAGAAGAGAAAATATCACATGGTGAATTTATTGAAGAGATGTCGATCCACTGATACTATTATAAAATTTCTAACTGGACTTGGAAGATGTCCCAACAGTTGTTACGTCACTTTGAGCACAAGCGTCATAGAGAAGATATCAGAACAGCTGTTCAGAAGGCAATTGAAGATAAACATGGGAAGACATTTTGGAGGAAACTCAAATCATGATTATATTGTGGAGGTTCTTAGTCTAGTACTTTTATTGGCACATCCTTGTTTACTGAGTGGAAGTTGGAAGAGATTGTGTAATGTATGTGTACATTATTTCACATGTTGTTTCAAGTATTGGTGCAGGCTGTTGTCACTGGATCATAATAGGTACCCAAGGGCAAGTTATGACATGTTAAAGGTGTATGATGATAGCGGTAAAGTTAATTGGCTATCTCAGATTAGAATATTACCTTTTGAAACATGTTTCTCCTGTGTTTGGATTTCCAAAAGCTGTGGAAATGTAGATATGTTTATTAAAAATTTCTACAGTGTTGTTATGATAGGCAATTACAGAAATGGCATGCACAAATGACAAGTTCTTCATTTTAAATTAATTATGCATGTTTTTAAACAATTTTAGAACACACAAAATGTTATATGGAGTTCAGACATGAAAGATACCATGTCCAAATTATTTACAAATTTCGGTGCTTAGGTCCTTAGCTGAACATGCAATGAAATTATGACAATCCAACAGTTGAAGAACTTGTCATTTTTTATAATAAATGTAATCAACATCACATTGAGAAAAAGTATCACTTCCGCCAGGCTTGTCAGAATTATATTAATAATCGTAAGAAGTTTATTGACCATATTATTACCTTTATCTTACCAGAGATAATTTTTATCGATCATTTTCTTCACAGTATATCAGACATATTGAAGGTCTTGGTGTGTATTGGAAAAGAAAATTACCAATGTATACATCATGTTGGACATCTTACCAAATTTGCCATTCTGCTGCAATTCGGTACACACTTTATAATATCTTTGTATTTAGTACTATTGGTCATGAGGCCAGAAATACTGTATAATATTTGTCATTTGTCAACTGTATGAAATGTTATGGAAATTAATTATCTGTTCTTTAGATCTCATCTTATGTTGCTTATTGACATGCCCTCTTCTTAGAAACTGCACAATGGGTACTAAGTCAGGATTTGGGAAAGTCAGATGCACGGATACCAACAAGACTGGAAGATGCTCAACACACAAGAGGCTGGAGAAGGAGGACTATGTTACTGGGGTTTCAACACTGCCTTGTGTAGCCGGGGTCTCGAGCTGACCACACACGTTGGAGACATCAAAAGTTGAGCAGATGCTGCCCTGTGTAGCTGTGGTCTCGGGGTGACCACACACTTTGGAGACATCAACAGCTGAGCAGATGCTGCCTTGTGTAGCTGGGGTCTCAAGGTGACCACACACGTTGGAGACATCAACAGTTGAGCAGATGCTGCCTTGTGTAGCTGGGGTCTCAAGGTGACCACACACTTTGGAGACATCAACAGTTGAGCAGATGCTGCCGTGTGTAGCTGGGGTCTCGAGGTGACCACACACGTTGGAGAGATCAACAGCTGAGCAGATGCTGCCTTGTGTAGCCGGGGTCTCGAGGTGACCACACACGTTGGAGACATCAACAGTTGAGCAGATGCTGCCTTGTGTAGCTGGTGTCTCAAGGTGACCACACACTTTGGAGACATCAACAGTTGAGCAGATGCTGCCGTGTGTAGCTGGGGTCTCGAGGTGACCACACACTTTGGAGACTTCAACAGTTGAGCAGATGCTGCCGTGTGTAGCTGGGGTCTCGAGGTGACCACACACTTTGGAGACTTCAACAGTTGAGCAGATGCTGCCTTGTGTAGCTGGGGTCTCGAGGTGACCACACACGTTGGAGGCATCAACAGTTGAGCAGATGCTGCCCTGTGTAGCTGGGGTCTCGAGGTGACCACACATGTTGGAGACATCAACAGCTGAGCAGATGCTGCCTTGTGTAGCTGGGGTCTCGAGGTGACCCCACACGTTGGAGACATCAACAGTTGAGCAGATGCTGCCTTGTGTAGCTGGGGTCTCGAGGTGACCACACACGTTGGAGGCATCAACAGTTGAGCAGATGCTGCCTTGTGTAGCTGGGGTCTCGAGGTGACCACACATGTTGGAGACATCAACAGCTGAGCAGATGCTGCCCTGTGTAGCTGGGGTCTCGAGGTGACCACACACGTTGGAGAGATCAACAGCTGAGCAGATGCTGCCTTGTGTAGCTGGGGTCTAGAGGTGACCACACACTTTGGAGACTTCAACAGTTGAGCAGATGCTGCCTTGTGTAGCTGGGGTCTCAAATCAGATAATGGCAACAGCTAGACATAGATTCTCCAATGTTGGGTAGACAAGAGGGAGGTTGATGATGAACATACACTGACGAAGGCACTTAACAGAACAACACAGTCCAAGGAGGTAGACACTGTTTCCCTGCAGCTGAGACTGAAACACCATGGGAAACGCCATAGTGAACACTGAGCACTGACACTTGTAGCACTTGGCAGTCGGTGTTGACAGCAGCGGAACCAACATCTGGGGCAGTTCCTCCAGGTAATGGACATCTGCAGAAAGACATCACATGTTCACCGAGTGTCTGTGTTACACTCTTCTTAATTATTACATCAAGGACACAGAATTGTTAATCTTTTGACTCCAGTTTTGTAAAACAATGTATTACAAAGTATATGTCCAAAGTCCTGCGATATCCACGCATAACCAAAACCAGATTCAAACAAAAGCATTCTCACATGAGATGCCCAATTAACACTACCATTATCATCTTGTACTTTCAGCATTTTATAACAAGCATGTGGAAGTCTATTTGAATTCACGCGTATCAATCTACACCAATATCTTATTCATCGGCTGATTACATAACACTTAGATGATAACGGCCAACTTCAAGAACCGCATTAGATTATGCTTTATTACTGTTTGACAAAATTGACAAAGAACTTTGGACTTTTTCTATGCTCTCTCTAAATGTAAATCCCCAAATTTCACTTCCATAACAAGCAATCAGAGCTATTTTGCTATCAAATATAGAAACAATTACCTTAAATGTCAAGTAAGGATTGAGCTTAATCAACTTAAAAATAGGAAAACATGCTTTCCTGGCCTGTGTGGCTAGGGTTGCACAGGCCTCAGACCACAGAAGACGTGATGAGAACACAATGCCAAAGTATTTATAATATGTTACTATTTTCATTTCTGTATTTTTATAGTAGCATTTTTCAACTCGTTTAATAATACCACCATTTCTGAATACTATTAAACCCGTGAAGATTCCCGGGTAGAATAGGTCTTCAGCAACCCATGCTTGCCGTAAAAGGCGCCTATGCTTGTCGTAAAAGGCGACTAATGGGATCGGGTGGTCAGGCTCGCTGACTTGGTTGATGCATGTCATCGATCCCAATTGCGTGGATCGATGCTCATGATATTAATCACTGGATTGTCTGGTCCAGACTCGATTATTTACAGACTATATAGCTAGAATATTGCTGAGTGCGGCGCTAAACAACAAACCAGCCAACAACCAACTGAATACAATTATATTTGATTTATCCATATTGACTTCAAGACCCCAAGTATCACCAAAAAATTCCAATTTATCTAATTTTCTCTGTAACTCAATAATAGGGTCTCCTACTAAGACAATGTCATCCGCAAACAGACACCTGTAGTGTGTCAGTACTGTTGTGCAGCACTCACCTGTAGTGTGTCAGTACTGTTGTGCAGCACTCATCTGTAGTGTGTCAGTACTGTTGTGCAGCACTCACCTACAGTGTGTGTCAGAACTGTTGTGCAGCACTCACCTGTAGTGTGTGTCAGTACTGTTGTGCAGCACTGACTTGTAGTGTGTTTCCGTACTGTTGTGTAACACTCACCTGTAGTGTGTCAGTACTGTTGTGCAGCACTCACCTGTAGTGTGTGTCAGTACTATTGTGCAGGACTCACCTGTAGTGTGTCAGTACTGTACAATCATACTGTTGTGCAGCACTCACTTGTAGTGTGTTTCAGTATTGTTGTGCAGCACTCACCTGTAGTGTGTCAGTACTGTACAATCATACTGTTGTGCAGCACTCACCTGAAGTATGTCAGTACTGTACAATCATACTGTTGTGCAGCACTCAACTATAGTGTGTGTCAGTTTTGTTGTGAAGCACTCACATGAAGTGTATCAGTACTGTACAATCATACTGTTGTGCAGCACTCACTTGTAGTGTGTTTCAGTACTGTTGTGCAGCACTCACCTGTAGTGTGTCAGTACTGTACAATCATACTGTTGTGCAGCACTCACCTGTAGTGTGTGTCAGTATTGTTGTGCAGCACTCACCTGTAGTGTGTTTCAGTACTGTTGTGCAGCACTCACTTGTAGTGTGTTTCAGTACTGTTGTGCAGCCCTCGTCTGTGGTGTGTGTCAGTATTGTTGTGCAGCCGTCACCTGAAGTATGTCAGTACTGTACAATCATACTGTTGTGCAGCCCTCACCTGTAGTGTGTGTCAGTACTGTTGTGTAACACTCATCTGTAGTGTGTCAGTGTCGTACAATCATACTATTGTGCAGCCCTCACCTGTGGTGTGTGTCAGTACTGTTGTGCAGCACTCACCTGTAGTGTGTCAGTACTGTACAATCATACTGTTGTGCAGCACTCACCAGTAGGGTTTCAGTACTGTTGTGCAGCACTCACCTGTAGTGTGTCAGTACTGTACAATCATACTGCTGTGCAGCACTCAACTGTAGTGTGTGTCAGTATTGTTGTGCAGCACTCACCTGTAGTCTGTGTCAGTACAGCTGTGCAGCCCTCACCTGTAGTGTTTGTCAGTACTGTTGTGCAGCACTCACCTGTAGTGTGTGTCAATACTGTTGTGTAACACTCATCTGTAGTGTGTCAGTACCGTAAAATCATACTGTTGTGCAACACTCACTTGTAGTGTGTGTCAGTACTGTTGTGGAGCAATCACCTGTAGTGTGTGTCAGTATTGTTGTGCAGCACTCATGTGAAGTGTGTCAGTACTGTACAATCATACTGATGTGCAGCAATCACCTGTAGTGTGTGTCAGTATTGTTGTGCAGCACTCACATGAAGTGTGTCAGTACTGTACAATCATACTGTTGTGCAGCACTCAACTGTAGTGTGTGTCAGTATTGTTGTGCAGCCGTCACCTGAAGTATGTCAGTACTGTACAATCATACTGTTGTGCAGCCCTCACCTGTAGTGTGTGTCAGTACTGTTGTGTAACACTCATCTGTAGTGTGTCAGTGCCGTACAATCATACTATTGTGCAGCCCTCACCTGTGGTGTGTGTCAGTACTGTTGTGCAGCACTCACCTGTAGTGTGTCAGTACTGTACAATCATACTGTTGTGCAGCACTCACCAGTAGGGTTTCAGTACTGTTGTGCAGCACTCACCTGTAGTGTGTCAGTACTGTACAATCATACTGCTGTGCAGCACTCAACTGTAGTGTGTGTCAGTATTGTTGTGCAGCACTCACCTGTAGTCTGTGTCAGTACAGCTGTGCAGCCCTCACCTGTAGTGTTTGTCAGTACTGTTGTGCAGCACTCACCTGTAGTGTGTGTCAATACTGTTGTGTAACACTCATCTGTAGTGTGTCAGTACCGTAAAATCATACTGTTGTGCAACACTCACCTGTAGTGTGTGTCAGTACTGTTGTGGAGCAATCACCTGTAGTGTGTGTCAGTATTGTTGTGCAGCACTCATGTGAAGTGTGTCAGTACTGTACAATCATACTGATGTGCAGCAATCACCTGTAGTGTGTGTCAGTATTGTTGTGCAGCACTCACATGAAGTGTGTCAGTACTGTACAATCATACTGTTGTGCAGCACTCAACTGTAGTGTGTGTCGGTATTGTTGTGCAGCACTCACCTGAAGTATGTCAGTACTGTACAATCATACTGTTGTGCAGCACTCAACTGTAGTGTGTGTCAGTTTTGTTGTGAAGCACTCACATGAAGTGTATCAGTACTGTACAATCATACTGTTGTGCAGCACTCACTTGTAGTGTGTTTCAGTACTGTTGTGCAGGACTCACCTGAAGTATGTCAGGACTGTACAATCATACTGTTGTGCAGCACTCACCTGTAGTGTGTGTCAGTATTGTTGTGCAGCACTCACCTGTAGTGTGTTTCAGTACTGTTGTGCAGCCCTCGTCTGTGGTGTGTGTCAGTACTGTTGTGCAGCCGTCACCTGAAGTATGTCAGTACTGTACAATCATACTGTTGTGCAGCCCTCACCTGTAGTGTGTGTCAGTACTGTTGTGTAACACTCATCTGTAGTGTGTCAGTACTGTACAATCATACTTATGTGCAGCCCTCACCTGTGGTGTGTGTCAGTACTGTTGTGCAGCACTCACCTGTAGTGTGTCAGTACTGTCCAATCATACTGTTGTGCAGCACTCACCAGTAGGGTTTCAGTACTGTTGTGCAGCACTCACCTGTAGTGTGTCAGTACTGTACAATCATACTGCTGTGCAGCACTCAACTGTAGTGTGTGTCAGTATTGTTGTGCAGCACTCACCTGTAGTCTGTGTCAGTACAGCTGTGCAGCCCTCACCTGTAGTGTTTGTCAGTACTGTTGTGCAGCACTCACCTTGTAGTGTGTGTCAATACTGTTGTGTAACACTCATCTGTAGTGTGTCAGTACCGTACAATCATACTGTTGTGCAACACTCACCTGTAGTGTGTGTCAGTACTGTTGTGGAGCAATCACCTGTAGTGTGTGTCAGTATTGTTGTGCAGCACTCATGTGAAGTGTGTCAGTACTGTACAATCATACTGATGTGCAGCAATCACCTGTAGTGTGTGTCAGTATTGTTGTGCAGCACTCACATGAAGTGTGTCAGTACTGTACAATCATACTGTTGTGCAGCACTCAACTGTAGTGTGTGTCAGTATTGTTGTGCAGCACTCACCTGAAGTATGTCAGTACTGTACAATCATACTGTTGTGCAGCACTCAACTGTAGTGTGTGTCAGTTTTGATGTGAAGCACTCACATGAAGTGTATCAGTACTGTACAATCATACTGTTGTGCAGCACTCACTTGTAGTGTGTTTCAGTACTGTTGTGTAACACTCACCTGTAGTGTGTCAGTACTGTTGTGCAGCACTCACCTGTAGTGTGTGTCAGTACTGTTGTGCAGGACTCACCTGAAGTATGTCAGGACTGTACAATCATACTGTTGTGCAGCACTCACCTGTAGTGTGTTTCAGTATTGTTGTGCAACACTCACCTGAAGTATGTCAGTACTGTACAATCATACTGTTGTGCAGCACTCACCTGCAGTTTGTGTCAGTACTCTGTGTGTACACCTCATAGCCAGCTCCAGCAGTGTCGGGACACAGGCATCTGTGAGGTTGCCCACCAGTCGGATCTCCCATGGCAACGGCAGGGACTTGTTGCTTGTCTCACTATGTTTCACGGTTACATAGCAGATGTTAGACTGAATGTCATCAGACAGCTTGGAGAGTGGTAGTGAGCCACACCTACAGAGACATACCCGGACACACTGAATGTCTGGATAGTATGTGAAACCAATACTTCTGCTGTTATCATGTTTTGACATGAGTTTGACTTTAAGAATAAATGTTGAATATACATAATAATAAGCATACTATTATACCAGAATTATACAGTTGATAAGCCTACTTTATACAAATCCTGATTCATTTCTAGGTCTATCAGCACAATACCCGTGCTCATGGGTTTCACTGAAGTGGTAAATGTTTGAGACCTGCATCACTTTGGGCTTTCCTCCCACATTAAGCAGACACGCCGTAATATAACTGGAATACTGTTAAAAGCGGTGTTAAACCCAACTCACTCACTCACTTTATGCAAAGTCCCTCATTAGATGATAAATTGTGGCCGTCATGAAGTGAGTAACTTCATTAACCTACAGAGGCATTGTGTAAACAAACAGTTTAAGTGTGACCAATAGCATAACCTCTGCCCCTTGACATAATAAACATATCCACTAATACACAAGGGCCTGTTTAGTTACTATCAAGTGCATCATAAACATATCCACTAATACACAAGGGCTTGTTAAGTTACTATAAAGTGCAGTATAAACATATCCACTAATACACGAGGGCCTGTTTAGTTACTATAAAGTGCAGTATAAACACATCCACTAATACACATGGGGCTGTTTAGTTACTATAAAGTGCATCATAAACATACCACTAATACACAAGGGCTTGTTTAGTTACTATAAAGTGCTGTATAAACACATCCACTAATAGACAAGGGGCTGTTTAGTTACTATAAAGTGCATCATAAACATATCCACTAATACACAAGGGCCTTTTTAGTTACTATAAAGTGCAGTATAAACACATCCATTAATACACAAGGGCCTGTTTAGTTACTATAAAGTGCAGTATAAACACATCCACTAATACACAAGGTGCTGTTTAGTTACTATAAAGTGCAGTATAAACACATCCACTAATACACAAGGGGCTGTTTAGTTACTATAAAGTGCAGTATAAACATATCCACTAATACACAAGGGCCTGTTTAGTTACTATAAAGTGCAGTATAAACACATCCACTAATACACAAGGGGCTGTTTAGTTACTATAAAGTGCAGTATAAACATATCCACTAATACACAAGGGCCTGTTTAGTTACTATTAAGTGCAGTATAAACACATCCACTAATACACAAGGGGCTGTTTAGTTACTATTAAGTGCAGTATAAACATATCCACTAATACACAAGGGGCTGTTTAGTTACTATAAAGTGCAGTATAAACACATCCACTAATACACAAGGGGCTGTTTAGTTACTATAAAGTGCAGTATAAACACACCCACTAATACACAAGGGGCTGTTTAGTTACTATAAAGTGCAGTATAAACACATTCACTAATACACAAAGGGCTGTTTAGTTGCTATAAAGTGCAGTATAAACACATCCACTAATACACAAGGGGCTGTTTAGTTACTATAAAGTGCAGTATAAACACATTCACTAATACACAAAGGGCTGTTTAGTTGCTATAAAGTGCAGTATAAACACATCCACTAATACACAAGGGGCTGTTTAGTTACTATAAAGTGCAGTATAAACACATCCACTAATACACAAGGGGCTGTTTAGTTACTATAAAGTGCAGTATAAACACATCCACTAATACACAAGGGGCTGTTTAGTTACTATAAAGTGCAGTATAAACACATCCACTTATACACAAGGGCCTGTTTAGTTACTATAAAGTGCAGTATAAACATATTCCCATACCTGTAGAATCCAATGTGTCGTTTTAGAAGATCTATGGGCAAGACCGACAAATAACAGTTACAATCCACAAAGATGGATTTCAGATTCTCACTTGCACCCATACCTGTAACACATGACATCAATTTAGAGGTGGGAGACTTTTCCTCACACCCTATTCCCTCCATTAGGGAATGGAATAACGACTAGACATTGTACTGAAAACCTTCTGGTGTTTAATAGGCAGCTTTGGTTCTATAAAGGACACACATTTTATATTCTTTGTCTCCTGCCACCTCTACTGAAAAGAAGCCAGTCTACGAAATAAATTAAACATAAAATTATTTATTTTTATTATGTCTCCCAATAGTAAATAACAAGTATTTGTCACATAGTGACGAAATATCCCCCGCCATATACACCATAGTACCAAATATGAAGACAATCCAGCGATTAGTTCTTGAGATATTGTGGCAACACCGTTTTCCAACTCCAAAAACAGATTTGCCTGCTGTGACCTTGAAAATGGGGTCAAGGTCACCAAAACCGACTGGTGTCTGTGGTGTCTGTATATACACCATAGTTCCAAATATGAAGACAATCGAGAGGTTTAGTTCTTGAGATATCGCGGCAACACCGTTTTCCAACTCTAAAAGCAGATTTGTCTGCTGTGACCTTGAAAATGGGATCAAGGTCACCAAAACCGACTGGTGTCTGCGGAGTCTGTATATACACTATAGTTCCAAATATGAAGACAATCCAGTGTTTAGTTCTTGAGATATCGCGGCAACACCGTTTTCCAACTCTAAAAGCAGATTTGTCTGCTGTGACCTTGAAAATGGGATCAAGGTCACCAAAACCGACTGGTGTCTGCGGAGTCTGTATATACACCATAGTTCCAAATATGAAGACAATCCAGTGTTTAGTTCTTGAGATATCGCGGCAACACCGTTTTCCAACTCTAAAAGCAGATTTGCCTGCTGTGACCTTGAAAATGGGATCAAGGTCACCAAAACCGACTGGTGTCTGCGGAGTCTGTATATACACTATAGTTCCAAATATGAAGACTATCCAGTGTTTAGTTCTTGAGATATCGCGGCAACACCGTTTTCCAACTCCAAAAGCAGATTTGCCTGCTGTGACCTTGAAAATGGGGTCAAGGTCACCAAAACCGACTGGTGTCTGCGGTGTCTGTATATACACCATAGTTCCAAATATGAAGACAATCCAGTGTTTAGTTCTTGAGATATCGCGGCAACACCGTTTTCCAACTCTAAAAGCAGATTTGTCTGCTGTGACCTTGAAAATGGGATCAAGGTCACCAAAACCGACTGGTGTCTGCGGAGTCTGTATATACACCATAGTTCCAAATATGAAGACAATCCAGTGTTTAGTTCTTGAGATATCGCGGCAACAAACAGGTGGGATGTACGGACGGACGGACGGACGTACGGACGGTCGTGAATACTATATCCCCCGCTTCGCGCTTTCGCGCGGCGGGGGATAATAATAGACCCTTATACAATAAAAAATGTTATATATCATAAATATTCCATGTCTTCATCACTATCGGTGTTTCAAGAAACCAGCTGCAGTTTTAGCTCCATGGGAGAATGACTCCATATAAATAAATAAATAATTGACATAGCTATTTATTTTTATTTTGACCGATCTTGTGGAAATAGCTAGAATAAATCTGCAGATCAAATAATTGAAAAAGTGTGGCCTGAGGGGAACTATAAGGCTGCAATTCAAATGCACATACTGTGTTAATAGTATGTCATGCACTGTGAATGTAAACCTCTGCAATGCGGTTGTCACTCATTGTTATTATCATTATCACCATTGCTTTTATCAACAATAACAAAACAAGCAGGTAAACTGTAACTGTCTACATCTAAAAACCCACAGACCTTGAGGGAGCATAACAATGTTATTTCCTGTGGCACTAATCTCCTTGAGACGGGAGAGTTTGCAGATCTGGCGTGGAATGGCGTGGAGTTGATTGGAGTCTACAGACAGCATCTCCAAGTTCATGCAGTCAAACAGTTCAAGTGGAAGTGATCTCAGTCGGTTGTTCATTGCCTCCAGATTCACAAGCTGGTGTAGATTGCCTATAGCTGAGTGTCAATCAAACATCACTGGTGTAATAGATATTTGAGAGCAATTACACTCAGCTAAAGACAAAGTGCTGTAGCACTGTTGTTCTCCTGCTTAATATGAAGACAGACACTTTTTTGAAGTGTTGAAGACTGTGTCACAAATATATGAAACAAGGGCTAACACGTACTGAACTATGTTTTCGTTATGCCTCTAGCTCAGTGCAACATCCCACCATATGCCTCTAGCTCAGTGTAACATCCAACCATATGCCTCTAGCTCAGTGTAACATCCCACCATATGCCTCTAGCTCAGTGCAACATCCCACCATATGCCTCTAGCTCAGTGTAACATCCCACCATATGCCTCTAGCTCAGTGTAACATCCAACCATATGCCTCTAGCTCAGTGCAACATCCCACCATATGCCTCTAGCTCAGTGTAACATCCCACCATATGCCTCTAGCTCTGTGCAACATCCCACCATATGCCTCTAGCTCAGTGTAACATCCCAACATATGCCTCTAGCTCAGTGTAACATCCCACCATATGCCTCTAGCTCAGTGTAACATCCCACCATATGCCTCTAGCTCAGTGTAACATCCCACCATATGCCTCCACAAAGCTATCTTAGAGAGTTATGAACGTCACAACTCCAATATATTAACATAGGCTTATGACTGTCATAGGGCTAAGAAAAGTAGAAAATGTGAATGTAAATTCATCTACCAACATTTGGGCAAGTGTGTGACCATGTTATACGCCAGCTTTAAGGATGTGAGTTTGGCCAGTCTGCCAATGGATGCTGGGAGACATGTAAGACAGTTGGCTCCAACATCCAGACACTCAAGGTTTGAAAGATCTCCGATAGCTGGAAACAAACAGATGAAATTACCATCCTCACAGAATAGTAAAAGTCAGTTACACATTTACCAACCTATCTATTATCGATGTGTGAAATGATTCCCATATCATTGGTCATTAGCAATCAACAAGTATTGATCCTGCATCCTAAATCCAAAAGTTAATGAGAGCGCCAACTCCACGCCTAAACTGCATCAAGAAATCAATGCGAGCAGCCGTAGATTTTCAGTTATAAAACACTATCTCATTATTCTGCAAACAGCAACACAAAGAAAGTAAACTGAGAATACAATGATATAGTACAGGGTTGTAGCAGATTGACTCAGTAGTATCATCTACTCTTCTTACAAAGTTCTGCTTGACAAGTGACCTAACTTACTGAAAATCATTAGCAGAATTGCCAACTTAGGTATATCCACATGATATAGGTCAGGTCAACCAACAAAGATTGTAAAGGTTCCATGTTTTGTTACATGATTTTTTGAACATACATAAGCAGTTCTGTGTATGAATGATTTGTTTCTTTGTAGATTAACACTGCACTCAGGAATATTTCAGCTATATGACAGCGGTCAGTAAATAACTGTGTCTGGACCAGACAATCAAGTGATTGATTTCACGAGCATCAATCCACGCAATTGGGATACAACGACATGCATCAACCAATTCAGCGAGCCTGACCACCTGATCTTGTTAATCGTCTCTTATGACAAGCATGGGTTGCTGAAGACCTATTCTAACCCAGATCTTCACAGGTCATGTATCAATGAAGCATTACGTGACATACAGGATGATGCATAACAACTCCACACTTGTCATATCTGGGAGTTGCAGTCATCACCACTGGGTATGACTGGAACCCAAACAAAACAGAAACTTTGTAAATAGAAGTCCATTCAGCTAGTCCAGAGGAAGAGGTCCTTTATACTCAATAATATTTCTTTTGCAAATTTACTCTATACAACAATAATTATTTTGTGTGGGTACATTGTAATTCCTTCAGTCAGATTGCTGAAGTGATCAATTAAATAATTTTGCACTGATTTCTCAATAAACATTACAAAATATGCCATTCCCACCGAGCTGGACTAGTTCTAACTCAATGGAAAGTAGGGGAATCACAAAGATTGTAATACCATTGAAAAATAGCATTTTACAATACAACATTCTCTCCTTGTATATGCAGGTGCAAACACATGGAATTTTCTAGACCTTCTCCGTCTACAGCAAATGAGAGTAAAAGTTCCCAAATTGAGTTACAAGTTTCCCAATTCCTCAGATTTTATATTTTGAGAATATATTAAAAAATCGATTTTTGAAAAATATCATGATATTTTCCGAATTTGCCTGGCAAGGGCACTTAGTTTGGAATCATAGATAACTCCCTGATACATCAGTTGCACTGATACCTGACCTAGCAGTACAATACTCCTAAAGTCATGATGAATCTATGTTTGTGTGACACAATACATACACTGCCGTATTATTAATTTAAGTTTACTTACTATTGGGTAAAGCTGCCAGTTTGTTACTATGCAAATATCTGTTGGAAAAAAAAATACCTTATTTGTCAAATTTGATCCAAATTTATATGCAGTATAATCAATCTTTTTTGCCATCTGTTATACAAGCTTGGAATGCACTTGATATTAATATTAGAAATGTAGATTCCTTATCTCGGTTTAAGCAATTAATTTCTAGAGAAACTAAGCTTACTTCAAATTTTACATCTTTTGCTAGTTATGGCAAGCGGCAATATCAGGTGATTTTATCTAGACTTAGGCTAAGTTGTAGTGATTTAAAATCACATTTATTTGACAGATTTCTGATTGATAATCCCATCTGTCCATGTGGCCTAAATAGAGAAGATGCTTTCCACTTTTTTCTATCTTGTCCACGCTATGCCAAGTTTAGAATTGATAAATACTTTTTTGTTAACCAGCTCAGCATACATACTATACTCCACGGCAATGAAGATTCATCTTCCTCAGACAATGAATACATTATAAAATCAGTTGAAACAAACCGCTTTACGTAAGTTATGTGTCAACTTAAGAATATAAAATGCATTTGGTATCTTGCTTTCCATTTTATTTCATTTTCTGTTACTCATTATATAATGTCTGCTCTATAGACTTCATTACAATATACATGTATAATGTACAATATTAGGAGAAGCATTAATATAGGCCTTTTTGGCCTGTTTGCTAATCCTTTTTTTCATTTTGTAATGCTATGTAATGTAAAATCTGAACATTAATGGAAATAAAATTCTGTTTAAATCATATGCAATTACAATGCTAAATAACCCTAAAAGGATAATGATAGCCAAAACACCTGAAAATGATTGCTTTGATTAATGATTGAGGATTTGTTACTTATTCAGTGAATAAGAATAGCAATGATTTAATTCAAGTGAAATATGGGCTGTATTCCACTACTTTACTTGTACTGGAAACAAATTGAACATATTGCCATACAAATAAATACTTACAGCACAACCAAATTCTGCAATAAGCTGATCCCTTGAGGCTACAACGGGAGAAATTAATTTATCACATTTCTAAGCACAAAAAGAAACTTCTTGAAACAATATTCCACCACAGTTTTATGATATTCAAAACTTATAGCTAAATATAGGTGAGGTAAAATGGGGTTGAATGTCGCGTTCAAGATTATTGCATTTTCATAGCGATGTGTATGTCTGTGTGTGTGCATGTGCACTTGTACTACTCCAGAATAATGCCAATTTTATAGAGATAACATGCTGCAGTTTTAACATGAATACCCCACTCAGACACAGTATACTCACTCCAAGCTGACCAGTCCTTGTTTTAGCCCCTAATGCCGAGCGCAAGGCATGCAGGTACCACAAGTACCACCTTTTTACGTCTTTTGTTCTGATGCGGCCAGGGATCAAACCCATGACCTACACTCCAGAGAGACACTCTATCCACTAGTCCACGGATGCAGCCTGTAGCTAGATGTAACCTTATTTAAAGCCAATAGCGTCTTTATGACTGTCTGCGACTGGGTTCATGTTGTACGTACCAGAGTAGTCAGGCAGTTCCTCTTGAGGTAGAGGTTAGTAATGTGTGTGAAGTCTTCAGTCTCTGTGAGTACTGTGGGCAGGTTTTTCAGCCCCTTGTAGTTGAGCTGCAGGACTTTGTCCCCTTTGTAGGGGCTGAGGTCAATGGTGTCATCTGGATTGCCATCGACGGCGGCCGTGTCTGAAATCATCTGGTAACAAATCAAATTTACATAAACAAAAACATTTTGTGAAACAAATTGAAGAAAATATTTCTGAAAAGATTGCAACTTTCCAACATCTTGATACACATGTAGCTATTCTGAGGTACATGAAGTTTAGCGTTTGCAAATGGTATGGTAACAAATGATGGAATAGTAACTGAAAGTCTGAGGTTGTAGAGAGAATTTACCAAATTGACCACAGTACAATCAGTAACCAGAGGGACTATCAGTTATTCATTAGTGGGTACTAGTATTCAGAACAGAACAGAATTTATTTCGTGTAATCTGGCCTTGAGGCCAATATTATTTTATTATTTATTCAGTATAAATATCAGTATATGTGAGGAATGTCTTGCTGTCTGAATGAAATGAATGGTCATGTGTAGTCCTTTCAAGTACTCCATAAAACGTGCCCCGATAAGATGCAAGGAAAGACTTCTTTCCAAGTCCAAATTGATGACCTTGCAAACAACAAATGCATATTGCAGCTATCATATTTTCTAAATCTATTGCCACTTCACTGGTCTATTACTTCACTGATAGTGATGCTTGATAGCAACATCAGTAGACTGCTGGTTACTGGCGAGTTGCCTCTTCATCATTCACACACTCCCATCCACCTCAACTTGTTCATTTGTCGTTTAACATGACATTAAGAAATATTCTAACTATATGACCAATATCAACTGTGGACCAGACAATCCGGTGATTGATATCATAAGCATTTATGTACGCAATAGGGATACGATGGCATGCATCAATCAAGCTGACGATCACGAAAATCAGTTAGCTGATAGTAATTTAGATTAATCTGTTTTAAAAATGAAAAACTTTACTAACTTTAACACAAATGAATGAATACAACTTATGCAGTCATTAAGAAGAAGCAACTCCACTTAAGATAAGCTGCATTATTACAAAAAAAAGCACATATATCTACATACATGTGGCTCTGAAAGTAAAACTTCCTACACTAGATTGAGGCTGAGGATACTCAGCTGACTTTAGGGTCAGCACCGGTTAGCGAAACTTCGACTTCTGCAAATAGGTCAAATGCACTTGTATCATTTATATCAAAACAGTGGGATGGAGACCGCTTAATATTTGTGAAACTAGTTACATGAGTTCGTAACGAAAAGAGTCTGTCGCTGCTCCCTACAGCGACACCAGGTTCCGTGAGCAGTTCATGGTATATCCACAAGGAGGGTAGCATGCAATGCAATAAACTTTCATTTTCGGTAGCAAGGATCCCAGTCATGGGCTATGCACTACTATTGGTGTCTTGGAAGTAATTATTACAGAGACAGTGCGATATTCACCGTTTTCTAACATTGTCCTATAAGCACAAGCTTCTGAGCTCAAGATATCAACATTATCATATGTTAGTATTGTAAGCACAAAAAAATGAAGAAACATATTTAGTGCGGCATTGCAATATGGCCGCGCCCATGGAGCATGCAACCAGATGTAAATCTTGAACACGTTGACTAGCTATTACAAATTAGAAATAGGCTTTCCATCATCGTTGAATTTGCTTCCCCACCTACTGACAACACTTTTTGTCACCGTTAATCGTGTTGAAGGTAAATTAGCTTAGAAATATATCACAACGTGTATGTAAACATAGGCTATCCTCTATCGAGTCCAATGATTAATATACTCCAGTCGTTTGCCAGTTTGTTGTAGGATTCATTCTTTCTGACAACTATTTCCGCCGTTTCTGTCGTATCATCTGGTTATTAAAAGATGTATCCTCGTTTGTATATTGTGCAACCCAAACCATTTTGTTATTTTTTATTTTACCAATCTCGTTAAAATAATATTTTTATATTTTATTTCTAAACTGTATCTTTCTGCATGAAGTTCTAAGCGGATTTCACCACCCTTAGACACATAGATTTCTATATTGAGAATGTCACCTGAGTGTCTTTGAATATCAAATATGTCAACGAGATTTATTTATCACCCAAAATCATTCTTCCATCTTTTTCAGTTTGTAGAAAGTAATATAAGCAGTGTCTAAGTGTAAAAAGTACTACCTTATTAGCTTCAGTTACAGAGCCATTGGTAATGTCATTTGATTTTAACGTCATGGTAACTGCAGTGATGTCACAATGGTCTGCAAAGAATTGTGATGCAATTTTTATTGTAGCAATATCTACAATATACATGATATAGATATCGCTTGATCTCACCCAAGCCATTTCTCCTGTGGGAGCCAGTTTTGGATGATAAAGATCTTTATAGCTAAAATGGATAGAATTATCATTAAACCGCCCGCATATTATCAAAAATGAGCGGGCCACAGTAACTTGATAATGCCCTCATATTGCTTGACCATAGGTCATTATCACGCCAGTCATTAGGTGACGTCATAGGAAAGTGATGTCACGTTCAATAGTGTCGTCATCTGGTTTGTTCTATGTGGTTTCCATATTTGTAAAGGTGGGTCAGTGACATTCGTGTTGATTGCTGTAAATGTTTCAAAACCCATATTGGTGTTTCTTTTTATTTGATAACAAATTCCATTTAGCTATAATAACGGTAACGCTATTTTTCAGTGCATTATCATTTGCAGAAGCCCTCGATCTTTTCAACTGCCCTCCTTTGTCGGGCAGTTAATGGAACACCTCAGGCTTCTGCAAATGATAATGCCCTGAAAAATAGCGTTACCCTTATAATATATGTCTTTGGACCACCTAATCTAAATAAAGATCACTGCATGGGCTCCAGTGGTTCTTTCTTGAACAATTCAGCTTCATTTCGATTGTAGTCCAATTTGGGTGGCCTTAATTATTTAATGCAGCATTGATTTCTGACATTTCACCAGGACAGGTTGTTGCCTTTGTTATTGTATTTTCCCATGAATACCTGAATGATATCTTTCAGTCACTGAAGATGATAGGATTAAATGAAAATGAAAGTCAACGTACATTTCTGTAATTTTTGGGCTTTAAATCCAAGCATAAAGTTAGTCTATTGTGATGTTTGTCTTTTGAACTTCTACGGTGACAACTATTTTCATGATCTCCATGTTTCTTTAAAAAATTTCATCGAGTCAATGAGGCAACAATCAACATATTATCATGATTATCGGCTAATCTTTTGATGAAAGTATGTTGTATATATATTTTGGTAATCCTATGATCATATTAATGGATGGGTATTTTTGTAACTCAACTGATCATCCTTTGCTGCTCTGTCATGTGCATAACCAAAAGAAATGCCAACTGGGAACCTTTGTCAGGTAATCTGAGTGGTGCTTCCACTAATTGTACCTGTAATAAATTCATTAACTGAGTATCAAGGGAATGATTGGTTGGTTGGTTTGTTGTTTAACGCCGCACTCAGCAATATTCCAGCTATGAGACTGCGGTCTGTAAATAATCGAGTCTGGACCAGACAATCCAGTGATTAATATCATGAGCATCGATCCACGCAATTGGGATTGATGACATGCATCAACCAAGTCAGCCAGCCTGACCACCCAATCCCGTTAGTCGCCTTTTACGACAAGCATAGTCACCTTTTACGGCAAGCATAGGTTGCTGAAGACCTATTCTACCCTGGAATCTTCACGGGTCTCAAGGGAATGATGACAAATACACAGGTATAGGGTTATACCATGAAACATGGATGACGAGAAGAGAGAAATAAAATTGTAGTGTTATATGCAGTGTAGTTGCCTGAAAAATAAGGGTGGTTGCTGTTTTGAGTATATAAACTGTGGCAAAAATAGTGTCTACATGTCGAAGGGGGATTATGTCGTGGCGCAGTCCGTCCGTCCGTCTGTCCGTCCCACAGAGGGTACTAAGCTTGTGAAATCAACTCCTCCTACAGTTTCCAGAGAATATCCCTGACACTCTATACACAAGATGTCGACATGTTGATGATACGCATATTGCAGTCCCGTTTCATTTCGACTAATTGTGACAGAGTTACTGCCCCTGTTTTAAGGAGATTCATGAAATCTACTCCTCCTCCAGTTTCCAGAGTATATCACAATATCTAACTATAACTATAACTATAGTTAGTTTCCTTGTTTAAGGCTTTTGTGGGTGAGCTACATCCAAATGGGTTTAGCATTCAGACTGGATTACTCCCAACAAAATGTTCTGCACAATTTGTTTCAAATGCAGTGCCATCTACTGTTGTTATTTCATAAAATACAAAGAAAATATAAACTCGTTAAAAAAATTCATGCGGGGGATGTTGTGCTCTCAGAGCGCTCTTGTTGCTTTATACTAAAGTACATGCACATTTACTTTATTGGTTTGTGTTATTATGCCTCGCCCAAATGAACATGGCCCGTCCGTCACATTTTGTTTCCGGAACATAATTCATACATCATTCAATATTTGTTCATGCTACTTTGTATACCCATCAGGCATACACTGAACTGGAATTGTTTTGTGCATTTCTAAGGCAATAAGTTAGACTTAAATCGAGGGTATGGTTTGTTTCCAGAGAAAAACTCATAATACGTTTCTCATTTCTTTGTATAATGCAAGTCCTGAACTAATGGGTTTTGCTATTGAGGTGTTTGTTTTAGATTTTGCATTAACAAATGGAACTTGTACATTGTTTGCTTTATGCCATATATTTAAAAGGGCAGGGGATATTGATGACTTTATCTTCTTGTTCAGTTTACATCTGATAGTATACAATAACAATATGCAATGGCATTATGGGGTTTTATTTACGGCCTCAAATAAATCAAATGTGTATCTTAATATCATAGTTGTATTTCATGGCATGATTAAATATCAAGCTATGGAACACAGAAATAGGATGCAAATCAACCTCTGTCATGGTATTATCCAAATCCAAAAATGCTTTCACTGCTGGTATACTTTTCTTTATTAAACTATAACCATTAGGGGTATTTCCAAATAATATCTGATGAGCATCAACTGTTCTTTTTGTCTGTTTGTTTAGGTTGAAGTCATTAATAAACATGCGCCCTTTGTAATATCGATATCTTTATAGATCACCGGTAACTGATCAGTGTTCACAAATGCGTATAGATATTGCCTCAAAGTTTGTTTATGCTGTCCCTACAGACGGTAGCCCAGTCTCTTGTCATGCTCAGCATTAGCCAGGCAAATGACTCACAGCAGCTAGTGAGCTGTAGTGGGCAGTGTTAGACAGCGGGGTAGAAGCAAGAAATTAGTGCCCCTTATAATTAGGAAATGGTCATTATAAGTTTTGGGATATTTTCTCGATGGAAGTTAAACACTGGACGCTATGTTTATCTAAATGTATAGACTCCTCCAAAATGAAAAGGCTGAAAAATACATGAATGGAGTGTGTAAGATTTGTGGATGTGACAGAGGTACTAGGCAACCAAAAGGTGTAGTTTATAAACTTAACTGTAACTGTGGACAATCCTACGTAGGTGAAACATCCCACCCCATCAACACCACAGTCAAAGAGCACAAAACTTCAACCATCAAATCAGACAGTAAATCAGCCATCTCTGACCATATCAGCAACTTCCCCAATGACAAAATCAAGAATTGGATTTGGCCTGGATTGTGGACTTTGCTGTGCGGAACTCTATTGTTTGGGTTAGAGAATTGGATAGGGACTGAACTGAAGGTGTGACGTCACACTCGGAACGTATTTCATGCATGATTTATAACAACCTTGATGCTGATTGGTTCTAACAATCATATTCTCAAACCACTAAAATCAACCTTGTAAGATATGAACCCAGACTTACAGCATTTCCAGTACTGTGCAGACAATAGAGACTTTAATAGTGCCTCATTAGCATAGCATATCAGAACATCACATCTTGGTAAAATATAGTAAATTTAAAATGCATGATATAGCATGCACAGGACTAATTCCTTGGTGGGCTGTTGGGGAAAAAAATAATTTTGGTTTGTGTGTTTCTCATTTGGATATCTAATCATTTTTATGTTTATATATGTTCGCAATATATGCTGCATGTTTATTTGTTGCAGTAGAACCAGCTAAAGCAAAATGAGAAACCTACAGTTACTGGAGGTGAAGAGAGTGGTTGACAACACAAGTATGAATAGATGTCAGCACATCACAATGGACACAGACACAGACACACTGTATGCTGCAGGGCCAGCCTGTCTGTGTGCTATAGATGTCCAGTCAGGACAGGTAGGTGCACCAGTGAGTGGACACAGACACACTGTATGCTGCAGGGCCAGCCTGTCTGTGTGCTATAGATGTCCAGTCAGGACAGGTAGGTTTACCAGTGAGTGGACACAGACACACTGTGTGCTGCAGGGCCAGCCTGTCTGTGTGCTATAGATGTCCAGTCAGGACAGGTAGGTTCACCAGTGAGTGGACACAGACACACTGTGTGCTGCAGGGCCAGCCTGTCTGTGTGCTATAGATGTCCAGTCAGGACAGGTAGGTTCACCAGTGAGTGGACACAGACACACTGTGTGCTGCAGGGCCAGCCTGTCTGTGTGCTATAGATGTCCAGTCAGAACAGGTAGGTGCACCAGTGAGTGGACACAGACACACTGTATGCTGCAGGGCCAGCCTGTCTGTGTGCTATAGATGTCCAGTCAGGACAGGTAGGTTCACCAGTGAGTGGACACAGACACACTGTGTGCTGCAGGGCCAGCCTGTCTGTGTGCTATAGATGTCCAGTCAGGACAGGTAGGTTCACCAGTGAGTGGACACAGACACACTGTGTGCTGCAGGGCCAGCCTGTCTGTGTGCTATAGATGTCCAGTCAGGACAGGTAGGTGCACCAGTGAGTGGACACAGACACACTGTGTGCTGCAGGGCCAGCCTGTCTGTGTGCTATAGATGTCCAGTCAGGACAGGTAAGTGCACCAGTGAGTGGACACAGACACACTGTGTGCTGCAGGGCCAGCCTGTCTGTGTGCTATAGATGTCCAGTCAGGACAGGTAGGTGCACCAGTGAGTGGACACAGACACACTGTATGCTGCAGGGCCAGCCTGTCTGTGTGCTATAGGTGTCCAGTCAGGACAGGTAAGTGCACCAGTGAGTGGACACAGACACACTGTATGCTGCAGGGCCAGCCTGTCTGTGTGCTATAGATGTCCAGTCAGGACAGGTAAGTGCACCAGTGAGTGGACACAGACACACTGTGTGCTGCAGGGCCAGCCTGTCTGTGTGCTATAGATGTCCAGTCAGAACAGGTAGGTTCACCAGTGAGTGGACACAGACACACTGTGTGCTGCAGGGCCAGCCTGTCTGTGTGCTATAGATGTCCAGTCAGGACAGGTAGGTGCACCAGTGAGTGGACACAGACACACTGTATGCTGCAGGGCCAGCCTGTCTGTGTGCTATAGGTGTCCAGTCAGGACAGGTAAGTGCACCAGTGAGTGGACACAGACACACTGTGTGCTGCAGGGCCAGCCTGTCTGTGTGCTATAGATGTCCAGTCAGGACAGGTAGGTGCACCAGTGAGTGGACACAGACACACTGTATGCTGCAGGGCCAGCCTGTCTGTGTGCTATAGATGTCCAGTCAGGACAGGTAGGTGCACCAGTGAGTGGACACAGACACACTGTATGCTGCAGGGCCAGCCTGTCTGTGTGCTATAGATGTCCAGTCAGGACAGGTAGGTTTACCAGTGAGTGGACACAGACACACTGTGTGCTGCAGGGACAGCCTGTCTGTGTGCTATAGATGTCCAGTCAGGACAGGTAAGTGCACCAGTGAGTGGACACAGACACACTGTATGCTGCAGGAGCAGCCTGTCTGTGTGCTATAGATGTCCAGTCAGGACAGGTAGGTTAACCTGTGAGTGGACACAGGTCAGTCTGTCAGTGTGGTGCGTGGGTGCCCTGTTGTCTAGGGCACTGCAATATACTGTGCAGTTGCCTCCCTGAGACTCTCAGAATCATCATCATGGCTTCGCTTCCCGGATTTGCCCTGGTTATGTTTCTAGCTTTGTCATCACCAAACAAGTGCTTGTGGGTTTCACCAAAGCGGTAAGGGTCTAAGGCCTGTATCACTTCAGGCTCTCCACCCTCATCTAGCTGACACATCATGATATAACTGGAATACTGTTCAAAGTGGTATAATCTGTATGCTGTCTCCAGTTGCATTCTATTATTGATGTCTACCAACAAATGAAAACCTGAAATATCTTCAAACAAATATTTTGTACTTTTTGTTGTGAAGTTTATACAAGCATGATTGATTGCTGTAAACACTGTAACTGTTGTTTACAGGTGGGCAGTTCAGTCAGTCTGACCAAGGAAGACTTCCTCCCCTCAGATGGGACAGGGTGCATTGTGGGTATGCAGTATCTGGCAGACCAACAGGGCGTATGTGTTGCCGTTGGCAACGGCAACCTGCTTGTCTGGAGTGTTTGTACAGGGCAGGTGAGAAAACTGCCTTCATCTAAATCTTGTCTCAGTATCACAGATATCTGCCCTTGTTTTGTTTACATCCACAAACTATCGTACTCAGGTTTGTGTTTGATTTGGCATGTTTCGAAAATTAAAGATTGATCCTGTTGGCAGTTGGCACAGAAATTTTTTACAAATCATTGGTAACTATTATTTTGTTTGTTGACATATTCATTTGATAAGATGTTAATTTAATCACTTTTGTCCAAAGTTTTGACCAAAATAACCAGATGATGGACTTCATCCTTTTTTCTTGTTACTTTTTAGCAGGGTAAAAAGACATGTACAAAGTGACCCGTGAAGATCAGGGGTAGAATAGCTCTTCAGCAACCCATGCTTGCTGTAACAGGCGACTAACGGGATCGGGTAGCCAGACTCACTGACTTGGTTGATGCATGTCATCAATCCTAATTGCGTGGATCGATGCTCATCACATCAATCACTGGATTGTCTGGCCCCGACTCGATTATTTACAGACCGCCATTATATACATGTAGCTGGAATATTGCTGAGTATGGCATTAAACAACAAAACAACCAACAACATGTACACAGTAATAACTGAAACAGTTGAACTCTAGATTTTTTGCTTGGCGTCAAGACTTAACTTTTAGATCTTGGCTTTTGACACTCCTCGGTGTGGCCATTAAAACTTGAAATGGTGACAGTCAGTGTAGGAATTAGTTCTCCTGGTTCACAGACCAGGATTGCTTGTCAACTAAAATTGCTGCTGGCCCTCATCATAGTTTACAGCTTACATATGTTGTCTGAACCTAAATGTATTTTGTGTGATTTGAGACCTTCATGCTAAACAACGCGAAGCTGAATGGCTGCTTGGTACAATACGTTTGCCTGACATTTTCGGTGGTTCTTACACTTTCACTTGCATCACTAATACCGCATGTACATGTTTATCAGTCATAACCAGTGTACAGCCCAAACCCAGTTTACTACTTCGCTTAGGTTTCTGATAAACTAGGAAATGAAAACAAAATTGCTACAGATTTTGACATTAAATTACAACTTAACTGAAGTCTCAACTGACTTGATTATTCATACCCCAAATTCAAAGTCACTGGCATTTAGCTAGCAGGCAGGCAGTTATTTCGAACACTGGTGTCAATCATTGATAGTTTGATACTGCATTAATGAACCATAACGAAACTATGTACACAACACTTTGCAGTTAACATTTTGCTTCTTACATGATACTGTGAAACATGTCATGATAATTGTTGAACACTGATATAATTTGGTTCAGATTGAGTGTGTCGGCTGTGTGGAGAGTGGGTTCACAGCCATGGCCTGGAGTCCAGACCTGGAGGTCCTTGTCCTTGCGACAGGTAGGTCACACGATGACAGCAACTGTCAAGTGTTTGGCCTCGCAACAGTAAGGTCCTGGAAAACCATTCATGGAGAGCTATCTATTCCCTCTTAACACTAAAAATGTTCAAAGAAGGATCAAAAATTAATATTTAATTTGCAACGTCCCTCCACCCTCCAAATTGTATTTGTGATAATGTTGATATCCAGCAAAGATATACTTTTGAAATGCTCCAAAGAGTACCACAATCAATAAAGTTAGTGGTTAAACTTTATTTTAGAGGAAACGAAATGTATGCAATAAGCAGAGGTCACATTAACTTTTCCTGTTAGTATCTTGAACTATGTTGAAGGATAAGTTCCTATTTCAGGCGATGAGACCCTGATCATGATGACAAGAGAGTTTGACCCCATCACAGAGATCTCCCAGCACCCTCAAGACACAGGGGATGGTGAGTTGCTGATACAGGGATGGTTGGTGTCCATGTTGGTAGTTATCCCCCGCCCCAACGAAGTTGGTGGAAATGGGTTCTGTCTGTGTGTGTCTGTGTCTGCGTGTGTGCGTGTGCGTGTGCGTGTGCGTGTGCGCGTGTGCGTGTGCGTGTGTGCGTGTGTGCGTGCGTGCGTGTGTGTGTGCGTGCGTGTGTGCGTCCCGAAATCGTTTCCGGAGCATAACTCAGAAGCTGTTAAATATTTCTCTACGAAACTTTATCAGACTCATGCTGAACTGGTGCCTTTTGCTATGTAGGACTTTTTTATTAATTTTTATTTTTTACGTTTCCATGGCAACAAGTTGGACTTAGGTTCTATAAGGGTGCTGTTCGTTTCCGGAGCGTAACTCAAAAACCGTTAAAAAATTTCTCACAAAACTTTGCATGTTTACCAGACACATACTGAACAGGTGCCTTTTGCTATTTAGGAGTTTTATAAATTTTTATTTTTTACGTTTCCGTTGCAACAAGTTGGACTTAGGTTCTATAAGGGTGGTGTTCGTTTCCGGAGCGTAACTCAAAAACCATTAAATACTTTCTTACAAAACTTTGCATGTCTACCACATGTTGTACTAGGCACATACTGAACTGGTGCCTTTTGCTATTTAGAATTTTATACATTTTTATTTTTTACGTTTCCATTGCAACAAGTTGGACTTAGGCTCTATAAGGGTGCTGTTCGTTTCCGGAGCGTAACTCAAAAAACGTTAAATAATTTCTTACAAAACTTTTCATGTTTACCAGACACATACTGAACTGATGCCTTTTGCTATTTAGGAGTTTTATCAATTTTTATGTTTTATGTTTCCATGGCAACAAGTTGGACTTAGGTTCTATAAGGGTGGTGTTCGTTTCGGAGCATAACTCAAAAACTGTTAAATCCTTTCTTACAAAACTTTGCATGTCTACTAGGCACATACTGAACTGGTGCCTTTTGCTATTTAGGAATTTTATAAATTTTTATTTTTTTACGTTTCTATTGCAACAAGTTGGACTTAGGTTCTATAGGGTAGAGTTTGTTTCCGGAGCATAACTCCAAACCCATTCAATACTTTCCAACAAAAACTGTGCATGTTTACCAGACACATACTGGACTGGTGCCTCCTGCTATTTAGGAATTTTAGACATTTTTATTTTTCACGTTTCCATGGCAATAAGTTGGACTTAGGTTCTACAGGGGTGGTGTTCGTTTCCAGAGTGTAACTCAAAAAACGTTCAATACTTTCTTACAAAACTTTGCATGTCTACCAGGCACAAACTGAACTGGTGCCTTTTGATATATAGCACTTTGAGAAATTTTTATTGTTTATGTTTCCATGACAACAAGTTGGATTTAAGTTTTAATATAGGATTGGTTTACTTAAGTAGTATAACAAATAAACTGTTAAATATTTACTTGCCAAACATTGCATGTCTATATATAAAGCGCATACTGAACTAGTGCCATTTGATATTAAGGAGTTTTAGAAATGTTTATTTTAGAATTTCCATTGCAGCTATTTTGACATGGGCTAAGAGAAATGTTGGGTCAGTTACCTGGTTTGGGACCATAACGTGTTAAAATGGGCAGGGGATATAGATGACTTTGTCAACTATACGCTTGTTGTCATTACAAGGATGGTGGGTGTCCATGTTGGTAGTTGATACAGGGATGGTGGGTGTCCATGTTGGTAGTTGACGGGGATGGTGGGTGTCCATGTTGGTAGTTGTTGATACAGGGATGGTGGGTGATCATGTTGGTAGTTGTTGATACAGGGGTGGTGGGTGTCCATGTTGGTAGTTGTTGACACAGGGATGGTGGGTGTCCATGTTGGTAGTTGATACAGGGATGGTGGGTGTCCATGTTGGTAGTTGTCAATACAGGGATGGTGGGTGTCCATGTTGGTAGTTGTTGATACAGGGATGGTGGGTGTCCATGTTGGTAGTTGTTGATACAGGGATGGTGGGTGTCCATGTTGGTAGTTGTTGATACAGGGATGGTGGGCGTCCATGTTGGTAGTTGTCAATACAGGGATGGTGGGTGTCCATGTTGGTAGTTGTCAATACAGGGATGGTGGGTGTCCATATTGGTAGTTGTTGATACAGGGATGGTGGGTGTCCATGTTGGTAGTTGTTGATACCAGGATGGTGGGTGTCCATGTTGGTAGTTGTTGATACAGGAATGGTTGGTGTCCATGTTGGAAGTTGTTGATCCAAGGATGGTGGATATCCATGTTGCTAGTTGTTGATACAAGGTTGGTGGGTGTCCATGTTGGTAGTTGTCAATACAGGGATGGTGGGTGTCCATGTTGGTAGTGGATACAGGGATGGTGGGTGTCCATGTTGGTTGTTGTTGATACAGGGATGGTGGGTGTCCATGTTGGTAGTTGTTGATACAGGGGTGGTGGGTGTCCATATTGGTAGTTGATACAGGGATGGTGGGTGTCCATGTTGGTAGTTGTTGATACAGTGATGGTGGGTGTCCATGTTGGTAGTTGATACAGGGATCGTGAGTGTCCATATTGGTAGTTGATACAGGGATGGTTGGTGTCCATGTTGGTAGTTGTTGATACAGGGATGGTGGGTGTCCATATTGGTACTTGATACAGGAATGGTTGATGTCCATATTGGTAGTTGATACAGGGATGGTTGATGTCCATGTTGGTAGTTGTTGATACAGGGATGGTGGGTGTCCATGTTACCAGTTGTCATTACAAGGATTGTGGGTGTCCATGTTGGTAGTTGTTGATACAGGGATGGTGGGTGTCCATGTTGGAAGTTGTTGATACAGGGATGGTGGGTGTCCATGTTGGTAGTAGTTGATACAGGGATGGTGGGTGTCCATGTTAGTAGTTGTTGATACAGGGATGGTGGGTGTCCATGTTGGTAGTTGTTGACACAGGGATGGTGGGTGTCCATGTTGGTAGTTGATACAGGTATGGTGGGTGTCCATGTTTTAGTTGTCAATACAGGGATGGTTGGTGTCCATGTTGGTAGTTGTTGATACAGGGATGGTGGGCGTCCATGTTGGTAGTTGTCAATACAGGGATGGTGGGTGTCCATGTTGGTAGTTGTCAATACAGGGATGGTGGGTGTCCATGTTGGTAGTTGATACAGGGATCGTGGGTGTCCATATTGGTAGTTGTTGATACAGGGATGGTGGGTGTCCATGTTGGTTGTTGTTGATACCAGGATGGTGGGTGTCCATGTTGGTAGTTGTTGATACAGTGATGGTTGGTGTCCATGTTGGAAGTTGTTGATACAAGGATGGTGGATGTCCATGTTGCTAGTTGTTGATACAAGGTTGGTGGGTGTCCATGTTGGTAGTTATCAATACAGGGATGGTGAGTGTCAATGTTGGTAGTTGATACAGCGATGGTTGTTGTCCATGTTGGTAGTTGTTGATACAGGGATGGTGGGTGTCCATGTTGGTAGTTGATGATACAGTGATGGTGGGTGTCCATGTTGGTAGTTGTTGATACAAGGATGGTGGGTGTCCATGTTGGTAGTTGATACAGGGATGATGGGTGTCCATGTTGGTAGTTGATACAGGGATGGTTGGTGTCCATGTTGGTAGTTGTTGATACAGGGATGGTGGGTGTCCATGTTGGTAGTTGATGATACAGGGATGGTGGGTGTCCATGTTGGTAGTTGATACAGGGATGGTGGGTGTCCATGTTGGGAGTTGTTGATACAGGGATGGTGGGTGTCCATGTTGGTAGTTGTTGATACAGGGATGGTGGGTGTCCATGTTGGTAGTTGATACAGGGATGGTGGGTGTCCATGTTGGTAGTTGTTGATACAGTGATGGTGGGTGTCCATGTTGGTAGAAGTTGATACAGGTGTGGTGGGTGTCCATGTTGGTAGTTGTCAATACAGTGATGGTTTGTGTCTATGTTGGTAGTAGTTGATACAGGGATGGTCGGTGTCCATGTTGGTAGTTGTTGATACAGGGATGGTGGGTGTCCATATTGGTAGTTGTTGATACAGGGATGGTGGGTGTCCATGTTGGTAGTTTTGATACAGGGATGGTGGGTGTCCATGTTGGTAGTTGTTGATACCAGGATGATGGGTGTCCATGTTGGTAGTTGTTGATACAGTGATGGTGGGTGTCCATGTTGGTAGTTGTTGATACAGTGATGGTGGGTGTCCATGTTGGTAGTTGTTGATACCAGGATGGTTGGTGTCCATGTTGGTAGTTGTCAATACAGGGATGGTGGGTGTCCATGTTGGTAGTTGTCAATACAGGGATGCTAGGTGTCCATGTTGGTAGTTGTTGATACAGGGGTGGTTGGTGTCCATGTTGGTAGTTGATGATACAGGGATGGTGGGTGTTCATGTTGGTAGTTGATACAGGGATGGTGGGTGTCCATGTTGGGAGTTGTTGATACAGGGATGGTGGGTGTCCATGTTGGTAGTTGTTGATACAGGGATGGTGGGTGTCCATGTTGGTAGTTGATACAGGGATGGTGGGTGTCCATGTTGGTAGTTGTTGATACAGGGATGGTGGGTGTCCATGTTGGTAGAAGTTGATACAGGTGTGGTGGGTGTCCATGTTGGTAGTTGTCAATACAGTGATGGTTTGTGTCTATGTTGGTAGTAGTTGATACAGGGATGGTCGGTGTCCATGTTGGTAGTTGTTGATACAGGGATGGTGGGTGTCCATATTGGTAGTTGTTGATACAGGGATGGTGGGTGTCCATGTTGGTAGTTTTGATACAGGGATGGTGGGTGTCCATGTTGGTAGTTGACAGGGATGGTGGGTGTCCATGTTGGTAGTTGTCAATACAGGGATGGTTGGTTTCCATGTTGGTAGTTGTTGATACAGGGATTGTGGGTGTCCATGTTGGTAGTAGTTGATACAGGGATGGTGGGTGTCCATGTTGTTGTTTGTTGATACAGGGATGGTGGGTGTCCATGTTGGTAGTTGTTGATACAGTGATGGTTGGTGTCCATGTTGGAAGTTGTTGATACAAGGATGGTGGATGTCCATGTTGCTAGTTGTTGATACAAGGTTGGTGGGTGTCCATGTTGGTAGTTATCAATACAGGGATGGTGAGTGTCAATGTTGGTAGTTGATACAGCGATGGTTGTTGTCCATGTTGGTAGTTGTTGATACAGGGATGGTGGGTGTCCATGTTGGTAGTTGATGATACAGTGATGGTGGGTGTCCATGTTGGTAGTTGTTGATACAAGGATGGTGGGTGTCCATGTTGGTAGTTGATACAGGGATGATGGGTGTCCATGTTGGTAGTTGATACAGGGATGGTTGGTGTCCATGTCGGTAGTTGTTGATACAGGGATGGTGGGTGTCCATGTTGGTAGTTGATGATACAGGGATGGTGGGTGTCCATGTTGGTAGTTGATACAGGGATGGTGGGTGTCCATGTTGGGAGTTGTTGATACAGGGATGGTGGGTGTCCATGTTGGGAGTTGTTGATACAGGGATGGTGGGTGTCCATGTTGGTAGTTGATACAGGGATGGTGGGTGTCCATGTTGGTAGTTGTTGATACAGTGATGGTGGGTGTCCATGTTGGTAGAAGTTGATACAGGTGTGGTGGGTGTCCATGTTGGTAGTTGTCAATACAGTGATGGTTTGTGTCTATGTTGGTAGTAGTTGATACAGGGATGGTCGGTGTCCATGTTGGTAGTTGTTGATACAGGGATGGTGGGTGTCCATATTGGTAGTTGTTGATACAGGGATGGTGGGTGTCCATGTTGGTAGTTTTGATACAGGGATGGTGGGTGTCCATGTTGGTAGTTGTTGATACCAGGATGATGGGTGTCCATGTTGGTAGTTGTTGATACAGTGATGGTTGGTGTCCATGTTGGTAGTTGTTGATACAGTGATGGTGGGTGTCCATGTTGGTAGTTGTTGATACCAGGATGGTTGGTGTCCATGTTGGTAGTTGTCAATACAGGGATGGTGGGTGTCCATGTTGGTAGTTGTCAATACAGGGATGCTAGGTGTCCATGTTGGTAGTTGTTGATACAGGGGTGGTTGGTGTCCATGTTGGTAGTTGATGATACAGGGATGGTGGGTGTTCATGTTGGTAGTTGATACAGGGATGGTGGGTGTCCATGTTGGGAGTTGTTGATACAGGGATGGTGGGTGTCCATGTTGGTAGTTGTTGATACAGGGATGGTGGGTGTCCATGTTGGTAGTTGATACAGGGATGGTGGGTGTCCATGTTGGTAGTTGTTGATACAGGGATGGTGGGTGTCCATGTTGGTAGAAGTTGATACAGGTGTGGTGGGTGTCCATGTTGGTAGTTGTCAATACAGTGATGGTTTGTGTCTATGTTGGTAGTAGCTGATACAGGGATGGTCGGTGTCCATGTTGGTAGTTGTTGATACAGGGATGGTGGGTGTCCATATTGGTAGTTGTTGATACAGGGATGGTGGGTGTCCATGTTGGTAGTTTTGATACAGGGATGGTGGGTGTCCATGTTGGTAGTTGACAGGGATGGTGGGTGTCCATGTTGGTAGTTGTCAATACAGGGATGGTTGGTTTCCATGTTGGTAGTTGTTGATACAGGGATGGTGGGTGTCCATGTTGGTAGTAGTTGATACAGGGATGGTGGGTGTCCATGTTGTTGTTTGTTGATACAGGGATGGTGGGTGTCCATATTGGTAGTTGTTGATACAGGGATGGTGGGTGTCCATTTTGGTAGTTGATACAGGGATGGCGGGTGTCCATGTTGGTAGTTGTTGATACTGGGATGGTTGGTGTCCATATTGGTAGTTGTTGATACAGGGATGGTGGGTGTCCATGTTGGTAGTTTTTGATACAGGGATGGTGGGTGTCCATGTTGGTAGTTGACGGGGATGGTGGGTGTCCATATTGGTAGTTGTTGATACAGGGATTTTTTATGTCCATGTTGGTAGTTGTTGATACAGGGATGGTGGGTGTCCATGTTGGTGTTTGTTGATACAGGGATGGTGGGTGTCCAAATTGGTAGTTGTTGATACAGTGATGGTGGGTGTCCATGTTGGTAGTAGTTGGTACAGGGATGGTGGGTGTCCATGTTGGTAGTAGTTGATACAGGGATGGTGGGTGTCCATGTTGGTAGTTGTCAATACAGGGATGGTTGGTGTCCATGTTGGTAGTTGTTGATACAGTGATGGTGGGTGTCCATGTTGGTAGTAGTTGATACAGGGATGGTGGGTGTCCATGTTGGTAGTAGTTGATACAGGGATGGTGGGTGTCCATGTTGGTAGTTGTTGATACAGGGATGGTGGGTGTCCATGTTGACATATTGTTGTGATAAAGGTATGTATATCCGAACTTCTTTTGCATTGTTTTTCAGCTGCCTTTGTGACTGTTGGATGGGGTAAGAAAGAGACCCAGTTCCATGGGTCTGAGGGCAAGGCTGCTGCACAGAAGAAAGACAAGGTAGGGTAGAGACAGATGCTGTAGAACATACATATTTCCCCCATAACATGATCAAGAAGACCTTGAGTTGTACATGAATAAGGGACACTTTGAATCCCAGGTAAGGTGGGTGGGTCTCTCAAGAAACTTTCTTGCATTCCAGGAATAAATGACTCATTGAAACTATTTATAACTGTCCTTGAAGAATGTTTAATGTTGGTGAGATAAAGTTGTGTTCTTACTATACTCAGCATTTCTTCAATGATCTTGTTTCGTCACATGATTTCATGCAGAGCGTAGTACCAGCATGCTCTGCTAACAGGGTTAAACATGGCAGGTGGGAGACACCATGTCACATGGTCTAGTGGTAGAGCGCCCGTCCGGAGATCGCCGGCTTGTCACACCAAAAGATGTTAAAGACGGTACTTGTTGTTACCCTCCCTCGCATTAAGGGGAGTCAGTATATTGTTTCTGAGTGGGTTATTCATTTTCAACTGCGGCATGGTATCTTAGTGGGCAAGCGCTATAAAATCGGCTTCCACTATAAACAACGCGCACACACACACGCGCACGCACGCGCACCTGTAATGAAGAGTGTCTCACATGTCTCTCGTACATGTACCTCTCTCTACTACAGTCTTGCCGCTCTGCCACGCCTTGGGATGACTGCCGTCCAAGGATCAGCTGGCGAGGGGATGGTCAGTTCTTTGTTGTGAGCAGCATCAGCCCAGACACAGGTACATCATTCTCAGTAGTCTGTTTCACTGTACTCTTATAAAAACTTTCATGACAGGACATCAGTCATAACCACAAATATTTTCATTGATTCTTTACATGTATAGGCTAGTGTTTAATGAAATCATTATTGTCCATCATCAATATTGCTTTATGTGAGAAAGGATGTATCTTTCAACTTGTGTAAATAATTAGTCCTCCCCACCAAGTATTGCTGACAATGTCAGTTGTGTTTACAGGAAGATGATACATGTATTTAGCTCATCTGACAGAAAGTCAAGTAAGCTTGTGTCATGGCCAGTTTGTCCATGGTCTGTCAGTCGTCCAAGTTAAACATCTTCTCCGCAGAAACTACTTGCCCATTGTCACCAATGAAGCTGAAACTTCACATGCTTGTTCCCACGAGTTCAAGATGTTTGAATCCAATTTTCAAGATGTTTACACAGCCTTTGCCTTTTCAGCATGCTGAAAACTGAAACTTCTGTTGGACGTTACTCAGCCATTTTTGTTCCTAAAGTAACCAGATTTGGTGAAGTGAGTAGTGAGGCCCATCGCATAAATTGTGATTTTCTTGATATTTTCATCTCCTACCTCGCAAAGATTATTGCTAATACAGATATTTATCAAGACATGCTGCTATGTTCTCTCAACAAGTGAAGCTGAAACTTCACATGCTTGTTCCCTCCAATGATGACATCCAAATTTGATGAATCGGTTTGAATCCAGTTTTCAATATGGTCACCACGGCAACCATATTGCACATGTTTGTTCTGTTAGTTGTGGGACTCATGTTCCACACAATATTTAAACCTTTGACCTTTTGACCCTGCTTTTGGATTCATATGCATATTTGGCTGTGTAAACTTCCCCCTCAACATGCTGACAGTGCCAGACTGGGGGAGCTGAACTTTGTCATGTATGTGTTTCATATCATTAGAGTTTAGTATTTATGCAGAAAATATTTGAATATCATTGCTGACAGAAACTTTTATTATGTGTCTATCTTCATTGACATTTCAAACTGTTGAGTACATATCCAAGTGAACTACATTGCAGTGGTACTATTTGTGTTGTTTTTCTGTATTTTTCCCCCCAAATACTGAAATTTGAGTTTTATCCAGTTTAATAAGAGTTTTGTTTTTCAGTTTATTTGTAAATCTACCCAGGTATATGCCTGTGGAATGTTGGTTACAGGTGCAGACAAAGATGTACCTGCAAAGACCCACCTCCCCAGCCCCTTTCTAACACTGCTTGGACTTCAACATTATTAACCCAATAATATACAGCATGTTAATTAAAGGTGGCCGGCAGCTCCATGTGTGGACAAGGGATTGCTCACACCACTCCAGTAGTGAGCCTGTGGATGGCCTGGAGCAGCCCCTTGCATGGAGGTAAGTCATCCTATTTTAATGATATAATGTCTGTAACACAATTTGAATCAGTCTAATCTTGTATGTTAAAGTCCAAATGATCACCTGACATGCATGTGACTTATGTGGTGGCTTATTTGTTCAAGAATAGAAGACTGAATGTGTTGAACTTTTTATCTACCCCGTTTGAAAAATGAGGGAACTCCAAAGTCGTTGCATATTTCTAGATGAAACCTACTATACGGATAAGTCTAGTGGTGAACTGGTGCCTCTTGATGATTTGGAATTTTGAAGAATAATGAACAACATTATTGTTTTCTTCACTTAACTGACGGTATCCAATGGCAGTGAACCAAAAGTGGGGTATAAGTAACCAAACTCCATTTCTGATTTGCACCAGACTGAGGGGATATGTGATCAGCTAATGACTCTTGTTTCTGAGAGCTTTGCATAACTGTCCGACTGTCTGGTGTGAGGAACCCATCAGCAGTATTAGTGTGATGGTAAAGGACATGTACATTGCTGTGTTTCAGACCGTCTGGAGGTCTTGTTGCCTGCTCCCACATGCGACCAAACAAACATGATGTGGTGTTCTTTGAAAAGAATGGTCTTCGGCATGGGGAGTTCACTCTGCCATTTCCTGTAAATACGGTGAAGGTATGTAACAAAACCCATAGTATTGTTTGAATGCTTGTAAGAGGAAACCACCACTACTGCACAAGTAACTACTCTGGATACAAACAGCATGTTTCTTGAACTTTCATGACCATGATTTCATCTGTGTATCGGTGTTACTGCAGGTTCGGGAGGTGTTGTGGAACATGGAGTCAACTGTCCTGGCTGTGTGGTGTGAAGAGATGGGTCCAGATCATACCAACCAGCATCCTGAACAACATATCCCAGTGTCATATGGTTAGTTGCTAGACTGATCATGTCAGGCTGTAAGTTGTGGCAAGTGGCTGGGTCAAACTGTATGCTCTGGCCATTAGCCATATTCCTGAGGCAAGGGAGTTAACTGACTTTAATAGTCCAGTTTCCACCCTTGGTGAACTAGGTTGGTATTATGGAGTTACATTTTGGCTGGACTAACTAGTCTATGCATAGTCCAATCAAATTCGAGAAACGAAATCGGAATCCTGTTAGTAAACTGTAGTGCAGATTTCAGTCGGTTGCATGATTTGCAGAGCATGTGCACCGCCAACTCATTGTCAACAGATATTTTCCAAGTCTTTTTATGTTTTTGATTAAGGTGCTCATGTGATTCGATGCACTTCGCAATGTAATTTGATTATCGATCATCTTGACAGGGCACCGCCATTTTCTTTGGTCAAATGCAAGTGATACGAGAGGTGGAATCTGATTGGTCCATAGGAGAGGCTTAGAAGGGACATAACTTGTAATATCCACTTGTGGCGCTACGATCGAGCCCAGGAATTCCAGCCTAGTTCGGCAAGGGTGGAAACTGGTCTTTAAAAGTCAGTTAACTCTCTTACATCGGGAAGATGGCCATTAGCTGGGTCAGATTGTAAGATGTGGCTAGTAGCTGTGTCAGGCTGGAAGCTGTGGTGAGTAGCTGGATCAGACTGTAAGATGCGGCAAGTAGCTAGGTCAGACTATAAGCTGTGGCAAGTAGCTGTTTCAGACTGGAAGATGTGGCAAGTATCTAGGTAGGACTGTAAGCTGTGGCAAGTAGCTGGGTCAGACTATAAGCTGTGGCAAGTAGCTGGGTCAGACTGTAAGCTGTGGCAAGTAGCTGTGTCAGACTGGAAGATGTGGCAAGTAGCTGGGTCAGACTGTAAGATGTGGCAAGTAGTTGGGTCAGACTATAAGCTGTGGCAAGTAGCTGGGTCAGACTATAAGCTGTGGCAAGAAGCTGGGTCAGACTGTAAGCTGTGGCAATTAGCTGGGTCAGACTGGAAGCTGTGGCAAGTAGCTGGGTCAGACTGGAAGATGTGGCAAATATCTAGGTAGGACTGTAAGCTGTGGCAAGCAGCTGGGTCAGACTATAAGCTGTGGCAAGTAGCTTGGTCAGACTGTAAGCTGTGGCAAGTAGCTGTGTCAGAATGGAAGATGTGGCAAGTAGCTGGGTCAGACTGTAAGATGTGGCAAGTAGCTGGGTCAGACTGTAAGATGTGGCAAGTAGCTGGGTCAGACTATAAGCTGTGGCAAGTAGCTGTTTCAGACTATAAGCTGTGGCAAGTAGCTGGGTCAGACTATAAGCTGTGGCAAGTAGCTGGGTCAGACTGGAAGCTGTGGCAAGTAGCTGGGTCAGACTATAAGCTGTGGCAAGTAGCTGGGTCAGACTGTAAGATGTGGCAAGTAGCTAGGTCAGACTATAAGCTGTGGCAAGTAGCTGTTTCAGACTATAAGCTGTGGCAAGTATCTAGGTAGGACTGTAAGCTGTGGCAAGTAGCTGGGTCAGACTGTAATATGTTGCAAGTAGCTGGGTCAGACTATATGCTGTGGCAAGTAGCTGTTTCAGACTGGAAGCTGTGGCAAGTAGCTGGGTCAGACTGTAATATGTTGCAAGTAGCTGGGTCAGACTATATGCTGTGGCCATTAAGTAGCTGTTTCAGACTATAAGCTGTGGCAAGTAGCTGTTTCAGACTGGATGATGTGGCAAGTATCTAGGTAGGACTGTAAGCTGTGGCAAGTAGCTGGGTCAGACTATAAGCTGTGGCAAGTAGCTGGGTCAGACTGTAAGCTGTGGCAAGTAGCTGTGTCAGACTGGAAGATGTGGCAAGTAGCTGGGTCAGACTGTAAGATGTGGCAAGTAGTTGGGTCAGACTATAAGCTGTGGCAAGTAGCTGGGTCAGACTGTAAAATGTGGCAAGTAGTTGGGTCAGACTATAAGCTGTGGCAAGTAGCTGGGTCAGACTATAAGCTGTGGCAAGTAGCTGTGTCAGACTGTAAGATGTGGCAATTTGCTGGGTCAGACTGGAAGCTGTGGCAAGTAGCTGGGTCAGACTGGAAGATGTGGCAAGTATCTAGGTGGATGTAAGCTGTGGCAAGCAGCTGGGTCAGACTATAAGCTGTGGCAAGTAGCTGGGTCAGACTGTAAGCTGTGGCAAGTAGCTGTGTCAGACTGGAAGATGTGGCAAGTAGCTGGGTCAGACTGTAAGATGTGGCAAGTAGCTGGGTCAGACTGTAAGATGTGGCAAGTAGCTGGGTCAGACTGGAAGCTGTGGCAAGTAGCTTGGTCAGACTGGAAGATGTGGCAAGTAGCTGGGTCAGACTATAAGCTGTGGCAAGTAGCTGTTTCAGACTGGAAGGTGTGGTAAGTATCTAGGTAGGACTTAAGCTGTGGCATGTAGCTGGGTCAGACTATAAGATGTGGCAAGAAGCTGTTTCAGACTAGAAGCTGTCGCAAGTAGCTGGGTCAGACTGTAAGATGTGGCAAGTAGCTGGGTCAGACTGGAAGCTGTGGCAAGTAGTTGGGTCAGACTATAAGCTGTGGCAAGTAGCTGTGTCAGACTATAAGCTGTGGCAAGTAGCTGTTTCAGACTGGAAGCTGTGGCAAGTAGCTGTTTCAGACTGGAAGCTGTGGCAAGTAGCTGGGTCAGACTGTAATATGTGGCAAGTAGCTAGGTCAGACTGTAAGCTGTGACAAGTAGCTGGGTCAGACTATAAGCTGTGGCAAGTAGCTGTTTCAGACTGGAAGCTGTGGCAAGAAGCTGTTTCAGACTGGAAGCTGTGGCAAGTAGCTGGGTCAGACTGTAATATGTGGCCAGTAGCTGGGTCAGACTGTAAGATGTGGCAAGTAGCTGGGTCAGACTGTAAGCTGTGACAAGTAGCTTGGTCAGACTATAAGCTGTGGCAATAGCTGGGTCAGACTGGAAGCTGTGACAAGTAGCTGGGTTAGACTGTAAGATGTGGCAAGTAGCTGGGTTAGACTGTAAGGTGTGGCAAGTAGCTTGGTCAGACTGTAAGATGTGGCAAGTTGCTGGGTCAGACTATAAGCTGTGGCAAGTAGCTGGGTCAGACTGGAAGCTGTGACAAGTAGCTGGGTCAGACTGTAAGATGTGGCAAGTAGCTAGTTCAGACTGGAAGATGTGGCAAGTAGCTGGGTCAGACTGGAAGCTGTGGCAAGTAGCTAGGTCAGATTGGAAGATGTGGCAAGTAGCTGGGTCAGATTGGAAGATGTGGCAAGTAGCTGGGTCAGATTGGAAGCTGTGGCAAGTGGCTGGGTCAGACTATAAGCTGTGGCAAGCAGCTGTTTCAGACTATAAGCTGTGGCAAGTAGCTGTTTCAGACTGGAAGCTGTGGCAAGTAGCTGGGTTAGACTGTAATATGTGGCCAGTAGCTGGGTCAGACTGTAAGATGTGGCAAGTAGCTGGGTCAGACTGGAAGCTGTGACAAGTAGCTGGGTCAGACTGGAAGCTGTGGCAAGTAGCTGTGTCAGACTGGAAGATGTGGTAAGTAGCTGTTTCAGATTGTAAACTGTGGCAAGTAGCTGGGTCAGACTGGAAGCTGTGGCAAGTATCTAGGTCAGACTGTAAGTTCTGACAAGTAGCTGTTTCAGATTGTAAACTGTGGCAAGTAGCTGGGTCAGACTGGAAGCTGTGGCAAGTATCTAGGTCAGACTGTAAGCTGTGGCAAGTAGCTGGGTCTGATTGTAAGCTGTGGCAAGTAGCTGGGTCAGACTGTAAGATGTGGCAAGTAGCTGGGTCAGACTGGAAGCTGTAGCAAGTAGCTGTTTCAGACTGGAAGCTGTGGCAAGTAGCTGTGTCAGACTGGAAGATGTGGTAAGTAGCTGTTTCAGATTGTAAACTGTGGCAAGTAGCTGGGTCAGACTGGAAGCTGTGGCAAGTATCTAGGTCAGACTGTAAGCTGTGACAAGTAGCTGTTTCAGATTGTAAACTGTGGCAAGTAGCTGGGTCAGACTGGAAGCTGTGGCAAGTATCTAGGTCAGACTGTAAGCTGTGGCAAGTAGCTGGGTCTGATTGTAAGCTGTGGCAAGTAGCTGGGTCAGACTGTAAGATGTGGCAAGTAGCTGTGTCAGACTGGAAGCTGTAGCAAGTAGCTGTTTCAGACTGGAAGATGTGGCAAGTAGCTGGGTCAAACTGGAAGATGTGGCAAGTAGCTGGGTCAGACTGGAAGCTGTGGCAAGTATCTAGGTCAGACTTTAAGATGTGGCAAGTAGCTGGGTCTGATTGTAAGCTGTGGCAAGTAGCTGGGTCAGACTGGAAGCTGTGGCAAGTATCTAGGTCAGACTTTAAGATGTGGCAAGTAGCTGGGTCTGATTGTAAGATGTGGCAAGTAGCTGGGTCTGATTGTAAGCTGTGGCAAGTAGCTGGGTCAGACTGTAAGATGTGGCAAGTAGCTGGGTCAGACTATAAGCTGTGGCAAGTAGCTGGGTCAGACTGTAAGATGTGGCAAGTAGCTGGGTCAGACTGTAAGATGTGGCAAGTATCTAGGTAGGACTCTAAGCTGCTGCAAGTAGCTGGGTCAGACTGTAAGATGTGGCAAGTAGCTAGGTCAGACTGGAAGATGTGGCAAGTAGCTGGGTCAGACTGAAAGCTGTGGCAAGTAGCTGGGTCAGACTGTAAACTGTGGCAAGTAGCTTGGTCAGACTGGAAGATGTGGAAATTTCTTAACATTTCCGCCAGACTCAGTTTCAGCTTGACATTGAATTAATTTGAGTAAAGGTAATTAAAACTCCAAAGCATGTGATGTTTTCACAATAAGTTTATTTGCACCTCCCAATCAGAGTCGGCAAGAATATTGGAATAGAGGCTAATTTCTGATGTAAACTTGTTGTAAGGCGATTAACATTTCTCAATTAATTGTGTTTGCAAGTGACCATGTGATCTTAATTTCATTTATTTTCAATATTTACTAAACAAATTTGATGAGACAGTGAACATTGAAATATTCCACTTTCTAGTTTATGATGAAACATATCACTGAACAATTTTCAAGAAATTCACATATGATGCACTTCATAATGTCACACATCACTAAATATGAATACTCTGTTTTTTACTAAACAAATTTGATTAGACAATGAGTGACAGAGTATTCATATTAACTGATGTGTGACATAATGTGAATGTTTTAAAATAGTTCTGTGGTATGTTTCATCATAAGCTAGTAAGTGGAATATTTCAATGTTTAATCAAATGTTTTATGACCTTTTTGTTATTGTTCATGATTCATTGGTAATCATACTGCGAGGTAATTATTGAACATTGAGATAGTGTGAATGTTGTCCAAACTGCACAAAATTGCTTAAAATCCTCTCCCTAGATTTTTCCTCTCTTATTTGGAAAACCTGCTCACATCCCGGAAATTGTCAAAATTGCATTTCACATTTTCCCAGTTCAACTTTGGACTGTGAACAACTATCACTGGTACTTGAAGCAAAGTCTACAATTCTCACCTGAAGAAAGGGTGATGGATGTGCAGTGGAACCCTGAACATGGATACAGAATGCACATTATGTGTTCTGGGGCCCAGTATCTGCAGTATACATGGTCCTGGTCAACATGCCACAGCTTGGGGAAGTCAGCAGATGATATGGCTACAGTGACAGTGATTGATGGAGGTGAGAGTAGAAATCAGTTTGCAGAATGTCATTTATTACTCGCCCGGGATGAGATCACCTGTTTTATAAACATCCAGCTGTATAAACATACACATCTTGTAGTGACAAAGCGCTTGCTTCTGAGACGAGCTTATGAGCACTCGATGACGTCACATGGCATTGTGTTGCCAGTGGATCTTGCAACAAAATTCCAAAAATTATGTCATAGCATATTGTTACTTGATTGTAAACTTTGTATTTTGTAACCTATCTCTCCATAACAGTATGCAATATTCCTTCTTGCTTCGATCATATAATCAGTGTAGAACATTGTGAAAACTATCCTCGTTGGAACACACCCTCCGACAACCTTGCTCCCACCATGCTCCAGCACTACTTATCACTTTTTCCTTCATCGTCCGTAGTGTACGGCTGCGTTTTGTCTAATGTTCGTGCTGTTGTCCATGTTATATTCTCTTTTTCTGTTGAAGATTTTGAGATATTATGGATGATGTGATTATTTCAGAGACGGTGTCGGATCGGAACCTGTGGATCATTGATTTCTATAAAATAGAGGGACTTATCCCACTGCCCTCTGTGAAATGCTCCTTCAACCCCAAAAATACTACACCATCTTACACGGTCCCTGTTCATCATTTGGATAAGGTAGCCCTTAAGGGTTAGCTTCCCAAACCTGCCATTACGTTGTCTCACTTTCAACTGCATGGGTAATCCTTTGGCGCCTCCCTTGAATGCAGACGTTACTTAAACTTTGGGTGGTTCCATGTCTTCACGGCTCAAGATCAATGATAGATCTCTTATGTCTGTTGATTCTGACATTCGCCTGTCACTCCTACTGTTGTCACTTATTACTACCTTCGTCCAGGCTTTGGTTACGAGGAATGGGCTGCCAAACACAGATTTTTTTTAGAGAATTGCTTTTAGCTCTGAATGAAATCATTCGTCTCTTAGAGTACTTAGCTCAGCTCCTTATGCATGCCACGGGCTCCCTCCTCCTTATGCATCGCCAGGCCTATATTGAGGAAGTCTCTTCTGTTCTTGAGGATGTCAAGGGAGTCCACCAGCTTGGTCCTCTCGTCTTTGTGCAGCAACTTGTCGCCCCTTCCCATGGACATTGTCCATTGGACCGGAGCACATGCCATTTTGAACGCACAAACTGGTTACCCTGCATGTTTATTTTTTCTTCTACGGAATGATTGCATTAAACTCTGTACCGAGAGTACTACATAACGTGAGGGTAACTACAGTTCCCGATCTTTCAGGTACCTCCAGACCCAGCCTTATCTGTAATCAGGCATGGTGGTGATGTATTAAACAACACATCCATGGCTTGAAGACAAAGTGGCAGTCTAGTCTTGTCTGTGCTCTCAATCACAAATGGGGATATGCAGTTGGTTCAACCCGTTGTCCTCCCGTGGTATAATTGCAAACTGTTGTGGAGGGATAAATTAAAAAATATAGGGAATCAGAGTATTCCCCTTATTTATATACTTATCCTGACACAACAGGTCATGACTACCAGCCCATCCACCCCCTCAATGTTGGATGCACTTGTCACCTGTCTACAGGCGATTGTGGGAAAAGTGATGAGTGGTATAGGAGCATGCCAGGAGCGAGGTGGTCAGAGGGTTTGTTCCGGTGAGGATTGTTTTCACAATGTTCTACACTGTAATATAATCACAGCAAAAAGGAATATTGCATACTATTGTCAGGATATGTGTATAAATAAGGGGAATACTCTTAATTCCATATGTTGTGGGGCTCAGTTCCACAAGGCAATTGTACTGCATGACAGTCATACGTCTATGTAAAAGAATGGAAGTTACGATTACCTTACTGCTACGATAGCTTTGTTGAACAGACCCCTGAATTCTAAAGGTGGGCTGTTGTATGCTATTAAATTAATTCATGTTAACTTTTGAAGTGTTTGAAGTATTATTCTGTTAAACTCAATTAGCTTATGCTGTTTATCACGTAAATGTCTGCCTATTCACACACGACACTGATCTCTTTTTTAAATTTATAAACGGCAAGTAATAAATAGAATACTAAACTGGCTCTCATGTAATACCAATCCTATGAAACTCTTGTTGAATAGTTCTGACTCGCTTTCGTAATTGGTATTACATGGGAGCTTGTTTAGTATTCTATATGTAGTGCTCATGTAATGTACACGTAATGCTCATATTTGCTTACTTTATGTTAATACATATGACAGCTTTGCGATAAATCACAAAGAGCAATGAAGAATGAAGCATGGCTTATTTCACAATGAAACATTGTTCTATCATGTTGTCATTTCTGAAGATTCAAATATGCCCTCGCAACTTGATGACATATATTGGACGACGTTATTTTTTAGAGGTCAGTGTCAAGTGAGTTGTTCCCCTTAGATGTAGTTGGGGTATGCAAATAGACACAGTGGCTGGACGCATGCGTCCAAATGTGGGAGAGATAGGACAGTCTGTATTTGGAGAAAATCTACAGATAATCCATGTGAGGATTGTGAGAATATGAGGGAAATACCAAACTTAACCCTCCTGTTCATAAAATGGACTTTGCTGAGGTCGAATTCTATTCAGGGAGTCATCATTATTAAAATGAAGGAAACTATTTTTGAAGCTTGTACATTTTGTCAACATCCTTAAAGAGGCTGTACATAATGTTGATATATATAAGAAATAAACGACTCATGGATGTTTGTTTATCGAACAATAAAACACTGCAGGGAGATTAAACCACTTGGAGCTGTGCCCATCATGGCTTATTCTCCCTGCAGTATTTCATTGTATGATAAGCAACACCCACCATCGTTTATTACTTAAATGTTATTAGAAAACTTGTGTGATGGTCATACAATGCTCATGTTATGCACAAGTCACATAAAAATAAAAAATGTCTAGATTCCACCCTTTCCAAACAAGACTGGAATTCCAGTGTTGCATTTTGGCTGGACTAACAAGACTATACATAGTCCAGTCACAGTCACGCAACCAACTAGACATCCAGTTTTTGTTTACAACATGGTTTCAACGTGCAGATTTCGGTTGCCTGCAGGATTTGCAAAACATGTGTACAGTCAACCAGACGTTGACAGATATTTTGCATATTTTGAATCAAGATGTTTAAGTGATTTGATGCACTTCACAGGGTAAGACACGTTTTATTACAATATTTATCTTGATTATCGACCAGATCGTCTTGACTTTGCGCCATCATTTGGTTGAAGCAATTGCAAGTGATATGAGAGATGGAGTCTGATCCGTCAATAGGAGGGACATAGAAGGGACATAACTGATAGTAACCCCCTGGTGGCACTACGATTGAGCCTGGAAATACTTTATAGTCTGTTAACGCCTTTGCCTCAGGAAGATGATCAAAAGACCAAACCAAAACAATGAAGAAAACTTTAAAAAGAAGAATAATCTGAAAACACTTTTAGAACAAAAAAAATCTGAAATGTCATTTCATTTTTTATTCCTTCCACCCACTTACCAGAAGATTTCACAAAAATATCTTTAAGCAATGACTTGAAGGAAAGGTTGGCCTTGAGACTTCCATGCCGGGCTTAGTGTATTCAGTCTAATACCATTGAAGATGGTTTTGTAATGGTCTAAATCATCTTCACTGGCTGGTGAATAAATGTTGAATTCTCTTGTGTTTGTAGAAAAAGTTCTTGTGACACCAATGAGACAGATGGTTGTACCGCCTCCATTGTCTGCCTTCCAGCTGGAGTTGCCTGCCCCTGTCAGTCAGGTGACATTTGGTCCAGCAGGCTTGAGTAATGACATTGCAGTGATGTTGTCTGATCAGAGGCTGGCTGTGTATCATCTCGCAGCAGAAGGTGCCTTTGTTTTAAAAAATCTGTCTGATTAGTAGATAAACACTATATTTTTTCAGATTTTGTCTATGATTGAACACTTGAAATGTTAAGTTTCATGCATTGAATACTGCAAGGTTTTTGTAACTGCAATTTGGACCTGAGAAAGGTTGACTGAAGAAAGGTCATGGTATGTGTCAATGACCTTGGGGTAATACACTGTGACATAACTGGAATACTGTTCAGAGTCAACTCACTCACTCACTCTTCACTCTGCCTTGTTTCTTCTTTTGATGGGGGCAGTGAGGTAGCCTAGTGGTTTAAGCATTCGCTCTCCACACCGAAAGGACCTGGGTTCGATTCCTCAAATGGAACAGATATTTTGCATATTTTGAATCAAGATGTTTAAGTGATTTGATGCACTTCACAGGGTAAGACACGTTTTATTACAATATTTATCTTGATTATCGACCAGATCGTCTTGACTTTGCGCCATCATTTGGTTGAAGCAATTGCAAGTGATATGAGAGATGGAGTCTGATCCGTCAATAGGAGGGACATAGAAGGGACATAACTGATAGTAACCCCCTGGTGGCACTACGATTGAGCCTGGAAATACTTTATAGTCTGTTAACGCCTTTGCCTCAGGAAGGTTGACTGAAGAAAGGTCATGGTATGTGTCAATGACCTTGGGGTAATACACTGTGACATAACTGGAATACTGTTCAGAGTCAACTCACTCACTCACTCTTCACACTGCCTTGTTTCTTCTTTTGATGGGGGCAGTGAGGTAGCCTAGTGGTTTAAGCATTCGCTCTCCACACCGAAAGGACCTGGGTTCGATTCCTCACATGGGTACAATGAGTGAAGTTTTTTTCTGGGGTCCCCCACCATGATGTTGCTTGAATATTGTTAAAAGTAGTGTAAAACCATACTCATTCACCCACTCACTCTTTATGTGATAAAATACCACGATATATAGGCTAGTTTTTGCAATGTTTCACAAGTAAGAACGGGTCATTTATTACCTTTGGCGAGAGGGAATAAGGGCATCTCACCATAAAACATTGGTAATGAAAATAGGCAGTTCCAGGAAAGGTCAGATTTTAACCTTATTATACATTACATATTGCATTCCCGTCTGTTTCCTGCGAAAACATGACTGGAAACTTGTTCCTGTCAAGCCTGTCAGGCGTAGCACTAGGCAATTCCTCCGAGCACCTCTCATCAGGTGCCATACACCTCTAAAGTGGGTGTTGCTCTGGCACAGAGTAGCTGTTTTGTGCCAAGCACCTATCTGGCGCCAAGTGCCTGTCCTGCAGGCAACAGAAGGGAATGCAATGGGTAATGCAGGATAAGTATTAGATAAAACATATATTAGATATTAATAATAGTGTTTGTTAATGGCGCACTCAGCAATATGATGGTTGTTGGTAAATAATTGAGTCTGGACCAGACAATCCAGTGATTGACATCATGAGCATGGATCCACGCAATTGGGATCGATGACATGCATCAACCAAGTCAGCGACCTGACCACGCGATCACATTGGTCGCCTCTTACGACAAGTGTAGTCGCCTTTTATGGCAAGCATGGGTTGCTGAAGACCTATTCTACCCCAGATCAGCACGGGTCCATAATAATAATTGGATACCTGTAGTTATTTTGTGGCTAAAGATCGGTAATGGAATTATGGTTATTTGATTTTCATGATAACAGGCTTGGAAATCTTCTTGGAGGGACATGGTAATAATATATGATCAATTGGGGAGGGTTGTGAAATACATGACATTTATTGACGAGGGTTATCTTTCTCTGAAAACTATATAGATGAATAGCTCCAGCCCATGGCCCTTATGTCAGTTGTGTAACATTCTCTCTGACACATTGCTTCCTGCAGCCAAGAATGGATCTGATGAAAGTGTAAAGCTTGGAGCAGCAGGAGGAACAGGCTTCAGTGTGCAGTGCAGGAGACATTCACTGAAGTGTGTGTACAGGTGAGGGACAGATCCAGTGTGTGTACAGGTGAGTGTGTACAGGTGAGGGACAGATCCAGAATGTGTACAGGTCAAGGACAGATTCAGTGTGTGTACAGGTGAAGGACAGATCCAGTGTCTGTACAGCTGAGTGTGTACATATGAGTGTGTACAGGTGAGGGACAGATCCAGTGTGTGTACAGGTGAAGGACAGATTCAGTGTGTGTACAGGTGAGTGTGTACAGGTGAGGGACAGATCCAGTGTGTGTACAGGTGAAGGACAGATTCAGTGTGTGTACAGGTGAGGGACAGATCCAGTGTGTGTACAGGTGAAGGACAGATTCAGTGTGTGTACAGGTGAAGGACAGATTCAGTGTGTGTACAGGTGAGGGACAGATCCAGTGTGTGTACAGGTGAGGGGCAGATCCAGTGTGTGTACAGGTGAAGGACAGATTCAGTGTGTGTACACATGAGGGACAGATCCAGTGTGTGTACAGGTGAAGGACAGATTCAGTGTGTGTACAGGTGAGGGGCAGATCCAGTGTGTGTACAGGTGAGGGGCAGATCCAGTGTGTGTACAGGTGAAGGACAGATTCAGTGTGTGTAGAGGTGAGGGACAGATCCAGTGTGTGTACAGGTGAAGGACAGATTCAGTGTGTGTACAGGTGAGTGTGTACAGGTGAGGGACAGATCCAGTGTGTGTACAGGTGAAGGACAGATTCAGTGTGTGTACAGGTGAGGGACAGATCCAGTGTGTGTACAGGTCAAGGACAGATTCAGTGTGTGTACAGGTGAAGGACAGATTCAGTGTGTGTACAGGTGAGGGACAGATCCAGTGTGTGTACAGGTGAGGGGCAGATCCAGTGTGTGTACAGGTGAAGGACAGATTCAGTGTGTGTACACATGAGGGACAGATTCAGTGTGTGTACAGGTGAAGGACAGATTCAGTGTGTGTACAGGTGAGGGGCAGATCCAGTGTGTGTACAGGTGAGGGGCAGATCCAGTATGTGTACAGGTGAAGGACACATTCAGTGTGTGTACAGGTGAAGGACAGAACCAGTGTGTGTACAGGTGAAGGACAGATTCAGTGTGTGTACAGGTGAGGGACAGATCCAGTGTGTGTACAGGTGAGGGGCAGATCCAGTGTGTGTACAGGTGAGGGGCAGATCCAGTGTGTGTACAGGTGAAGGACAGATTCAGTGTGTGTATAGGTGAGGGGCAGATCCAGTGTGTGTACAGATGAAGGACAGATCCAGTGTGTGTACAGGTGAGGGGCAGATCCAGTGTGTGTACAGGTGAAGGACAGATCCAGTGTGTGTACAGGTGAGGGACAGATCCAGTGTGTGTACAGGTGAAGGACAGATCCAGTGTGTGTACAGGTGAAGGACAGATCCAGTGTGTGTACAGGTGAGGGGCAGCTTCAGTGTGTGTACAGGTGAGGGACAGATCCAGTGTGTGTACAGGTGAAGGACAGATTCAGTGTGTGTACAGGTGAGGGACAGATCCAGTGTGTGTACAGGTGAAGGACAGATCCAGTGTGTGTACAGGTGAAGGACAGATCCAGTGTGTGTACAGGTGAGGGGCAGCTTCAGTGTGTGTACAGGTGAGTGTGTTCAGGTGAGGGACAGATTCAGTGTGTGTACAGGTGAAGGACAGATCCAGTGTGTGTACAGGTGAAGGACAGATTCAGTGTGTGTACAGGTGAGGGACAGATCCAGTGTGTGTACAGGTGAAGGACAGATCCAGTGTGTGTACAGGTGAAGGACAGATCCAGTGTGTGTACAGGTGAGGGGCAGCTTCAGTGTGTGTACAGGTGAGTGTGTTCAGGTGAGGGACAGATTCAGTGTGTGTACAGGTGAAGGACAGATTCAGTGTGTATACAGGTGAAGGACAGATTCAGTGTGTGGACAGGTGAGGGACACATCCAGTGTGTGTACAGGTGAAGGACAGATTCAGTGTGTATACAGGTGAAGGACAGATTCAGTGTGTGTACAGATGAGGGACAGATCCAGTGTGTATACAGGTGAAGGATAGATTCAGTGTGTGTACAGATGAGGGACAGATTCAGTGTGTGTACAGGTGAAGGACAGATTCAGTGTGTATACAGGTGAAGGACAGATTCAGTGTGTGTACAGGTGAGGGGCAGATCCAGTGTGTGTACAGGTGAAGGACAGATTCAGTGTGTGTACAGGTGAGTGTGTACATATGAGTGTGTACAGGTGAGGGACTGATTCAGTGTGTGTACAGCTGAGGGACAGATCCAGTGTGTGTACAGGTGAGGGACAGATTCAGTGTGTGTACAGGTGAGGGACAGATCCAGTGTGTGTACAGGTGAAGGACAGATCCAGTGTGTGTACAGGTGAGGGACAGATTCAGTGTGTGTACAGGTGAGGGACAGATCCAGTGTGTGTACAGGTGAGGGACAGATCCAGTGTGTGTACAGGTGAGGGGCAGCTTCAGTGTGTGTACAGGTGAGTGTGTACATATGAGTGTGTACAGGTGAGGGACAGATTCAGTGTGTGTACATGTGGAGGACAGATTCAGTGTGTGGACAGGTGAGGGACACATCCAGTGTGTATACAGGTGAGGGACAGATCCAGTGTGTATACAGGTGAGGGACAGATTCAGTGTGTGTACAGGTGAGGGACAGATCCAGTGTGTACAGGTGAAGGACAGATTCAGTGTGTGTACAGATGAGGGACAGATCCAGTGTGTATACAGGTGAGGGACAGATTCAGTGTGTGTACAGGTGAGGGACAGATCCAGTGTGTACAGGTGAAGGACAGATCCAGTGTGTACAGGTGAGGGACAGATCCAGTGTGTGTACAGGTGAGGGACAGATCCAGTGTGTACAGGTGAAGGACAGATCCAGTGTGTACAGGTGAGGGACAGATCCAGTGAGTGTACAGGTGAAGGATAGATTGAGTGTGTGTACAGGTGAGGGACAGATTCAGTGTGTGTACAGGTGAGGGACAGATTCAGTGTGTGTACAGGTGAGGGACAGATTCAGTGTGTGTACAGGTGAGGGACAGATTCAGTGTGTACAGGTGTAAAGAGAGGAACAAATTGTCATATAATGTTTTCTTGCAGTGTCAAGTTTACGTCTGTGATTGTGAATTTTCCCCTTCACATCCAACACCTTACCTGGTTAACTCCGGATTGCTTCATCTTCTGTGGACTGGATGCTGGTAACACCCACTCTGTACTGTACAAAGCTGAGCTGGCTGGGGACACACTAGCTGTCAGGTAATACAGACTTTAGTTGACATACTAACTTGTTCTCATATGATTTTACCTGTGAAATAATGGTGCATGTTGTCATGCCTTGGAGTGTATCTTTCAGATCAAGTCTGGATGTAGAGAACCTCGTGCACTGCATAGCTGTCAGTGTGGACACTCCGTCAGTGGCAATCCAGTTGTGTGATGGAACTGTACTCCGATACCTGTCAGGTAAGGTGAACACCACTTACTTACATCACTGTGACCCGAAACGTGTCAGGTAAGGTGAACACCACTTACTTACATCACTGTGTCCTGAAACGTGTCAGGTAAGGTGAACACCACTTACTTACATCACTGTGACCCCAAAAAGTGTCAGGTAAGGTGAACACCACTTACTTACATCACTGTGACCCGAAACGTGTCAGGTAAGGTGAACACCACTTACTTACATCACTGTGACCCCGAAACGTGTCAGGTAAGGTGAACACCACTTACTTACATCACTGTGACCCAAAACGTGTCAGGTAAGGTGAACACCTCTTACTTACATCACTGTGACCCAAAACGTGTCAGGTAAGGTGAACACCCCTTACTTACATCACTGTGACCCAAAACGTGTCAGGTAAGGTGAACACCACTTACTTACATCACTGTGACCCAAAACGTGTCAGGTAAGGTGAACACCACTTACTTACATCACTGTGACCCAAAACGTGTCAGGTAAGGTGAACACCACTTGTAAACCTATTCATTGGGATCTCTATTAAGTAAGAGAGTTCTTTCTATAGGCATTAAAACCTATTGTGAGGTTTTATTTTCGTTCTGGAGGTTTTACTTTTAATGTAAAACCTCAAATCCCAGGTTTAACCAAGTAACTGAAAAAATGACTACAAGTAGCAATTCAAAATTTTAATTCAGTTAAAATTGAATGTCATGTGTACAGTGAATGAAGACTGGGTAACAAAATGAAAGTCGTCGTCGCTCATCTTTCCACTTCAGAGTCTCTGGTGAAAGGACAGCGAGGTTTCAAAACACATGCTTTTAAACAAGTGCTTATCAATGCTGCACAATTTGCACGTGAAGTAACTGCTAGCCGTTACAACACAACTTCCTCTGCGTAACAGTTGGATTGTTTAAAGTCGTAAATCTTGTAAAGCAAAATTTGCGAATTTTCGTTTTGAAAAGTTTAAAAGATTTCACTTTCATTTAAAAGTAAGTATTTTAGTTGTGTTTTGTTGTTGACACATCCAAGTGCTCTTGACCGCCTGGCAAGTCAGCGAATTTCACGTGCAAGTTGTGATATCACGTCTTCAAGGAACCGCTATAATGAAGCGCCTCATTTATAGATGCTCGTTATAACATTTAATCAATTTAGACGGTTTATAAGTATGGAAAAACACTTTCCCTCGGTTTTGGTAGACAGAGCATGCCCTGGGGGTCGGGAAAAACCACGGGGGCTTCGCCCCCTTGGCTTTTCCTTCTCCCCAGGCCATGCTCTGTCTACCAAAACCTCGTGAGCGTGTTTTCTCCAATCCTTAATTGCATCACTGTAGGCCGATACCTGTCAGGTAAGGTGAACACCACTTAATTGCATCACTTTGCTCCGATACCTGTCAGGTAAGGTGAACACCACTTAATTACATCACTGTGGGCCGATACCTGTCAGGTAAGGTGAACACCACTTAATTGCATCACTGTTCCGATACCTGTCAGGTAAGGTGAACACCACTTAATTACATCACTGTGGGCCGATACCTGTCAGGTAAGGTGAACACCACTTAATTGCATCACTGTGGGCCGATACCTGTGAGGTAAGGTGAACACCACTTAATTGCATCACTGTGGGCCGATACCTGTCAGGTAAGGTGAACACCACTTAATTACATCACTATGGGCCGATACCTGCCAGGTAAGGTGAACAACACTTAATTACATCACTGTGGGCCGATCCCTGCCAGGTAAGGTGAACACCAGTTATTTGCATCACTTTGCTCCGATACCTGTCAGGTAAGGTGAACACCACTTAATTGCATCACTGTGGGCCGATACCTGTCAGGTAAGGTGAACACCACTTAATTGCATCACTGTGGGCCGATACCTGTCAGGTAAGGTGAACACCACTTAATTACATCACTATGGGCCGATACCTGCCAGGTAAGGTGAACGCCACTTAATTACATCACTGTGGGCCGATACCTGCCAGGTAAGGTGAACACCAGTTATTTGCATCACTTTGCTCTGATACCTGTCAGGTAAGGTGAACACCACTTAATTGCATCACTGTTGGCCGATACCTGTCAGGTAAGGTGAACACCACTTAATTGCATCACTGTGGGCCGATACCTGTGAGGTAAGGTGAACACCACTTAATTGCATCACTGTGGGCCGATACCTGTCAGGTAAGGTGAACACCACTTAATTACATCACTATGGGCCGATACCTGCCAGGTAAGGTGAACGCCACTTAATTACATCACTGTGGGCCGATTCCTGCCAGGAAAGGTGAACACCAGTTATTTGCATCACTTTGCTCCGATACCTGTCAGGTAAGGTGAACACTAAATTGCATCACTGTGGGCCGATACCTGTCAGGTAAGGTGAACACCACTTAATTGCATCACTGTGGGCCGATACCTGTCAGGTAAGGTGAACACCACTTAATTGCATCACTGTGGGCCGATACCTGCCAGGTAAGGTGAACGCCACTTAATTACATCACTGTGGGCCGATACCTGCCAGGTAAGGTGAACACCAGTTATTTGCATCACTTTGCTCCGATACCTGTCAGGTAAGGTGAACACTTAATTGCATCACTTTGCTCCGATACCTGTGAGGTAAGGTGAACACTTACTTACATCACTTTGCTCCGATACCTGTCAGGTGAGGTGAACACCACTTAATTGCATCACTTTGCTCTGATATCTTTGTCAGGTGAGGTGAACACCACTTAATAAGATCACTGTGGGCCGATACCTGCCAGGTAAGGTGAATACCACTTATTTGCATCACTTTGCTCCGATACCTGTCAGGTGAGGTGAACGCCACTTAATTGCATCACTTTGCTCTGATACCTGTCAGGTGGGGTGGACACCACTTAATAAGATCACTGTGCTCCGATACCTGCCAGGTATGGTGAACACCACTTGCTTACATCACTGTGCCCCGATACCTGTCGGGTGAGGTGAACACCACTTAATGAGATCACTGTGCCCTGAACACCACACAGCATTTCTATTCATGGAAATTTTGTCCCCAGAAACTAAACATAGAAGGCCCTACAAGTTACATTAAACTGCTGATTCTAAATTGATCTGCTTTTCAGATGATGACAGTCTGTCGCCATGGAACACTGAGTGTGGACAGGACCTCCAACTGCCACATGCCTGCAGCCAGATGTCTGTGTGTCTGATAGGGGGAGAGGTGGGTTGACAGTGACTCAGATGTCTGTGTGTCTGATAGGGGGAGAGGTGGGTTGACAGTGACTCAGATGTCTGTGTGTCTGATAGGGGGAGAGGTGGGTTGACAGTGACTCAGATGTCTGGTAGGGGGAGAGGTGGGTTGACAGTGACTCAGATGTCTGTGTGTCTGATAGGGGGAGAGGTGGGTTGACAGTGACTCAGATGTCTGTGTGTCTGATAGGGGGAGAGGTGGGTTGACAGTGACTCAGATGTCTGTGTGTCTGATAGGGGGAGAGGTGGGTTGACAGTGACTCAGATGTCTGGTAGGGGGAGAGGTGGGTTGACAGTGACTCAGATGTCTGATAGGGGGAGAGCTGGGTTGACAGTGACTCAGATGTCTGTGTGTCTGATAGGGGGAGAGGTGGGTTGACAGTGACTCAGATGTCTGGTAGGGGGAGAGGTGGGTTGACAGTGACTCAGATGTCTGGTAGGGGAGAGGTGGGTTGACAGTGACTCAGATGTCTGTGTGTCTCGTGGGGGGAGAGGTGGGTTGACAGTGACTCAGATGTCTGGTAGGGGGAGAGGTGGGTTGACAGTGACTCAGATGTCTGGTAGAGGGAGAGGTGGGCTGACAGTGACTCAGATGTCTGGTAGGGGGAGAGGTGGGTTGACAGTGACTCAGATGTCTGGTAGGGGGAGAGGTGGGCTGACAGTGACTCAGATGTCTGGTAGGGGGAGAGGTGGGTTGACAGTGACTCAGATGTCTGGTAGGGGGAGAGGTGGGTTGACAGTGACTCACATGTCTGGTAGGGGGAGAGGTGGGTTGACAGTGACTCAGATGTCTGTGTGTCTGGTAGGGGGAGAGGTGGGCTGACAGTGACTCAGATGTCTGGTAGGGGGAGAGGTGGGTTGACAGTGACTCAGATGTCTGTGTGTCTGGTAGGGGAGAGGTGGGTTGACAGTGACTCAGATGTCTGTGTGTCTGATAGGGGGAGAGGTGGGCTGACAGTGACACAGATGTCTGTGTGTCTGGTAGGGGAGAGGTGGGTTGACAGTGACTCAGATGTCTGGTAGGGGGAGAGGTGGGCTGACAGTGACTCAGATGTCTGTGTGTCTGATAGGGGGAGAGGTGGGCTGACAGTGACACAGATGTCTGTGTGTCTGGTATGGGGAGAGGTGGGTTGATGGTGACTCAGATGTCTGTGTGTCTGGTAGGGGGAGAGGTGGGCTGACAGTGACTCAGATGTCTGGTAGGGGGAGAGGTGGGTTGACAGTGACTCAGATGTCTGGTAGGGGGAGAGGTGGGCTGACAGTGACTCAGATGTCTGGTAGGGGGAGAGGTGGGTTGACAGTGACTCAGATGTCTGTGTGTCTGGTAGGGGGAGAGGTGGGCTGACAGTGACTCAGATGTCTGGTAGGGGGAGAGGTGGGTTGACAGTGACTCAGATGTCTGTGTGTCTGGTAGGGGAGAGGTGGGTTGACAGTGACTCAGATGTCTGTGTATCTGGTAGGGGGAGAGGTGGGTTGACAGTGACTCAGATGTCTGTGTGTCTGATAGGGGGAGAGGTGGGCTGACAGTGACACAGATGTCTGTGTGTCTGGTATGGGGAGAGGTGGGTTGATGGTGACTCAGATGTCTGTGTGTCTGGTAGGGGGAGAGGTGGGTTGATGGTGACTCAGATGTCTGGTAGGGGGAGAGGTGGGCTGACAGTGACTCAGATGTCTGTGTGTCTCATGGGGGGAGAGGTGGGTTGACAGTGACTCAGATGTCTGTGTGTCTGGTAGGGGGAGAGGTGGGTTGATGGTGACTCAGATGTCTGGTAGGGGGAGAGGTGGGCTGACAGTGACTCAGATGTCTGTGTGTCTCATGGGGGGAGAGGTGGGTTGACAGTGACTCAGATGTCTGGTAGGGGGAGAGGTGGGCTGACAGTGACTCAGATGTCTGGTAGGGGGAGAGGTGGGTTGACAGTGACTCAGATGTCTGTGTGTCTGGTAGGGGGAGAGGTGGGCTGACAGTGACTCAGATGTCTGGTAGGGGGAGAGGTGGGTTGACAGTGACTCAGATGTCTGTGTGTCTGGTAGGGGAGAGGTGGGTTGACAGTGACTCAGATGTCTGGTAGGGGGAGAGGTGGGTTGACAGTGACTCAGATGTCTGTGTGTCTGGTAGGGGGAGAGGTGGGCTGACAGTGACTCAGATGTCTGTGTGTCTGGTAGGGGGAGAGGTGGGTTGACAGTGACTCAGATGTCTGGTAGGGGGAGAGGTGGGTTGACAGTGACTCAGATGTCTGGTAGGGGGAGAGGTGGGTTGACAGTGACTCAGATGTCTGTGTGTCTGATAGGGGGAGAGGTGGGCTGACAGTGACTCAGATGTCTGTGTGTCTGATAGGGGGAGAGGTGGGTTGACAGTGACTCAGATGTCTGTGTGTCTGGTAGGGGAGAGGTGGGTTGACAGTGACTCAGATGTCTGTGTGTCTGGTAGGGGGAGAGGTGGGTTGACAGTGACTCAGATGTCTGGTAGGGGGAGAGGTGGGTTGACAGTGACTCAGATGTCTGTGTGTCTGGTAGGGGAGAGGTGGGTTGACAGTGACTCAGATGTCTGGTAGGGGGAGAGGTGGGTTGACAGTGACTCAGATGTCTGGTAGGGGGAGAGGTGGGTTGACAGTGACTCAGATGTCTGTGTGTCTGGTAGGGGAGAGGTGGGTTGACAGTGACTCAGATGTCTGGTAGGGGGAGAGGTGGGTTGACAGTGACTCAGATGTCTATGTGTCTGGTAGGGGGAGAGGTGGGCTGACAGTGACTCAGATGTCTGTGTGTCTGATGGGTTTTGGGTTGTAGCTAAAGAAGGTTGCATCAGTATTAAAGCATTCATTATAAATAAAGCAGTTTGAAATCGCTACTACTTCACTTGATGTTCACCTTGGTATCATTGTATATGGGTTGTGTGTATGTTGCAGGAGGTTGTTTTGGGACTGACTGACCGATACAGGTTCTATGTCAATGACAAGGAGGTGAGTGACAGGTACAGATTCTATGTCAATGACATGGAGGTGAGTGACAGGTACAGATTCTATGTCAATGACATGGAGGTGAGAGACAGGTACAGATTCTATGTCAATGACATGGAGGTGAGAGACAGGTACAGATTATATGTCAATGACATGGAGGTGAGAGACAGGTACAGATTCTATGTCAATGACCATGAGGTGAGTGACAGGTACAGATTCTATGTCAATGACATGGAGGTGAGTGACTGGTACAGATTCTATGTCAACGAGATGGAGGTGAGTGACTGGTACAGATTCTATGTCAATCACATGGAGGTGAGTGACAGGTACAGATTCTATGTCAATGACAAGGAGGTGAGAGACAGGTACAGATTCTATGTCAATGACATGGAGGTGAGTGACAGGTACAGATTCTATGTCAATGACATGGAGGTGAGAGACAGGTACAGATTCTATGTCAATGACATGGAGGTGAGTGACAGGTACAGATTCTATGTCAATGACATGGAGATGAGTGACTTGTACAGATTCTATGTCAATGACATTGAGGTGAGAGAAAGGTACAGATTCTATGTCAATGACATGGAGGTTAGAGACAGGTACAGATTCTATGTCAATGACAAGGAGGTGAGAGACAGGTACAGATTCTATGTCAATGACATGGGGGCGAGTGACAGGTACAGATTCTATGTCAATGACATGGAGGTGAGAGACAGGTACAGATTCTATGTCAATGACATGGAGGTGAGTGACTGGTACAGATTCTATGTCAATGACATGGAGGTGAGTGACTGGTACAGATTCTATGTCAATGACATGGAGGTGAGAGACAGGTACAGATTCTATGTCAACGAGATGGATCAAGTTGCCTCTAACTGTACATTGATGTTTCCAGATTGCCTCTAACTGTACATTGATGTTTCCAGATTGCCTCCAACTGTACATTGATGTTTCCAGATTGCCTCTAACTGTACATCGATGTTCCCAAATTGCCTCCAACTGTACATCGATGTTCCCAGATTGCCTCTAACTGTACATCTATGTTCCCAGATTGCCTCTAACTGTACATCTTATGCTGTCCATGATGAGTTCCTGCTTCTGACGACACTGAGTCATACATGTCGATGTATTTCACGACATACCAGGGTCAGAGGTTAGCTTATATTTATTATTTTCAACTAATCCTTGTTGCATAATATGAGGGTATATACATTTGATATGTTCATGCTTAAGGTGATATGTACCGTTAATAATGGCAACAACTGTATTATGATGTCATGTTTCACCATATATGTCGGTTAACAGTCACAGTATTACTTGCTCACCGCGTAAATATCCAAGTACAGGCCCTATAGGCCTCTTCTTACATGTACCTAACACGGTATTCTGTAGCCATAAACGTGGCATTTCTTCAGATAACACTGGTTATGGTAATTTTGACAAGGCAGTATAACATATTCCAAACCTACATGTACGGATGTTGTTAAACCATTGAGCCTGTAATATTGTGTTTCTTGATTGTCGTGATTGAGGTGATTGTGTTATGTTGATGTGTGTGTGTATGTGTTTGTGTTATGGTGATGTGTGAGTGTATATGTAATGGTGATGTGTGAGTGTATGTGTTATGGTGATGTGTGAGTGTATATGTTTGTGTTATGGTGATGTGTGAGTTTATGTGTATGTGTTATGGTGATGTGTGAGTGTATGTGTTATGGTGATGTGTGAGTGTATATGTAATGGTGATGTGTGAGTGTATATGTAATGGTGATGTGTGAGTGTATGTGTTATGGTGATGTGTGAGTGTATGTGTTATGTTGATGTGGGTGGGTATGTGTTTGTGGTATGTGATGTGTGAGTGTATATGTTTGTGTCATGGTGATGTGTGAGTGTTTGTGTTATGTGATGTGTGAGTTTATGTGTTTGTGTTATGTGATGTGTGAGTGTATACATGTGTTATGGTGATGTGTGAGTGTATGTGTTATGGTGATGTGTGAGTGTATATGTTTGTGTTATGGTGATGTGTGAGTGTATGTGTTTGTGGTATGTGATGTGTGAGTGTATGTGTTATGGTGATGTGTGAGTGTATATGTTTGTGTTATGGTGATGTGTGAGTGTATGTGTTTGTGGTATGTGATGTGTGAGTGTATGTGTTATGGTGATATGTGAGTGTATATGTAATGGTGATGTGTGAGTGTATGTGTTATGGTTGCGTGTGACTGTATGTGTTTTGGTGATGTGTGAGTGTATGTGTTATGTTGATGTGGGTGGGTATGTGTTTGTGGTATGTGATGTGTGAGTGTATGTGTTATGGTTGCGTGTGACTGTATGTGTTTTGGTGATGTGTGAGTGTATGTGTTATGGTGATGTGTGAGTGTATGTGTTATGTTAATGTGGGTGGGTATGTGTTTGTGGTATGTGATGTGTGAGTGTATATGTTTGTGTCATGGTGATGTGTGAGTGTATGTGTTATGGTGATGTGTGAGTGTATGTGTTATGGTGATGTGTGAGTGTATATGTTGGTGTTATGGTGATGTGTGAGTGTATATGTTTGTGTTATGGTGATGTGTGAGTGTATATGTTTGTGTTATGGTGATGTGTGAGTGTATATGTTTGTGTTATGGTGATGTGTGAGTGTATATGTAATGGTGATGTGTGAGTGTATGTGTTATGGTTGCGTGTGACTGTATGTGTTATGGTGATGTGTGAGTGTATGTGTTATGGTGATGTGTGAGTGTATGTGTTATGGTTGCGTGTGACTGTATGTGTAATGGTGATGTGTGAGTGTATGTGTTATGGTGATGTGTGAGTGTATGTGTTATGTTGATGTGGGTGGGTATGTGTTTGTGGTATGTGATGTGTGAGTGTATGTGTTATGGTGATGTGTGAGTTTATGTGTTTGTGTTATGGTGATGTGTGAGTGTATATGTTATGGTGATGTGTGAGTGTATGTGTTATGGTGATGTGTGAGTTTATGTGTTTGTGTTATGTGATGTGTGAGTGTATATGTTATGGTGATGTGTGAGTGTATATGTTTGTGTCATGGTGATGTGTGAGTGTTTGTGTTATGGTGATGTGTGAGTTTATGTGTTTGTGTTATGGTGATGTGTGAGTGTATGTGTTATGGTGATGTGTGAGTGTATGTGTTATGGTGATGTGTGAGTGTATATGTTTGTGTTATGGTGATGTGTGAGTGTATGTGTTATGGTGATGTGTGAGTGTATGTGTTATGGTGATGTGTGAGTGTATATGTTTGTGTTATGGTGATGTGTGAGTGTATGTGTTTGTGCTATGGTGATGAGAGTGGGTATGCGTTTGTGTTATGGTGATGTGTGAGTGTATGTGTTATGGTGATGTGTGAGTGTATATGTTTGTGTTATGGTGATGTGTGAGTGTATGTGTTTGTGCTATGGTGATGAGAGTGGGTATGCGTTTGTGTTATGGTGATGTGTGAGTGTATGTGTTTGTGCTTTGGTGATGAGAGTGGGTATGCGTTATGTGTATGCGTTATATGTTATATGTTGATTTGGGTGGCTGTATATTCAGAGACTGAAATCTTTGACTGTGGAAAGATATCAAATTGCTATAAACATCATGTGCCAGAGTATAAGTATGAGAATGTGTCGAATTGCAGATTTACCTAGCCTGTCTGATGGCAAGGCCCACCCTTTTGATGAGTGTGTCCGCCGCGTGGAGAGAGGGTCACGCATCGTGACTGTGGTCCCTGAGGCCACCAAGCTGGTGCTGCAGATGCCGAGGGGTAACCTGGAGGTCATACACCCCAGAGCTCTTGTACTGTCAGCTGTCCGCAAGTATCTTGATAGGTACACACATTCCTGAGAAGTCATTATCTCAAACAGTGTCTGTGGACGTCGTTTTTCATGATGTGAAAATGTGGATTGTCATTTTGAGTATGATTGTAATTATTTGGTGATTCAGTCTAATCAGACTGTTCCCTATCACATTGAATTTCCTGGGCCCCTTTCTACAAAGCAACCTCATATAATATTTACAGGTTGCAGTGAAATACCATTAGGATATTGCTGTATGAAGCAACGCTCTCACTCACTCGCTCACAAATGGGTGAAGGCTCTTCTGATTTACAACTGATTTGATATGTTTCAATGAAAATATTTGTTGTTATCTTATCCTTCAATACATGTAGAAAACATGACTGGAAAGTCATACATTAGGGAAACTGTTCCCGAACAAGGTCTAAACTGTTCGACTGAACACAAACGTCCACATTTCACATGATCACCCAGTCCATACGCCTGTCTTCTGTTTTTCACAATTTTTGCCAAAGTCAACTTGGACAGTTGTGGGCTCATTATTCTGTATAGGGTTGTTGGTTTGTTCACTGATCTTGGTATGTCTTTCTATTGTTATGTGATAAAGTATTTTTTCACATGCTGGTGTACTTTGAACACTAATGTGAAGCATGTGGCTGGATTTCCAACCATTTTGGCCTGAACGTTGCTGGTCCAACCTTGTTCGTGATGGCTCTAGACATAGCAGGAGGTAAGCACTTGCTTCTCACACATACTTCAGGGCATTATTATGTACTGTGAATGTCGTGCTGATCAGGTTCATGTTTCCATGCCTTATTTCAGCCTGGTTTCCAACACAACATTTTAACATTGTTAATGTTATTCTTTTGTGTACGTATTCCTTTGTGCGGCCATTTGGTAAAAAAGTACAAAGTTGAAAAATAGTACAAAAGTAGGCAATAAAGGTCAAATGTTACAAATAAAGAACTAAATGTTACTAATAAAGGTCAAAATACAAAACAAACAGACGCCAGTTGAAATAAAGGTCAAAAGTACATAATATTAATTGTCCAATTTTACGAAAAGATATCATAAGAAAAAAAAGAACAATGTGTACGAAAGAACGTCGGTGAGCACGAAAGGACGTTAAAGGGGAAGTGTACACGCAAAAATTACTTTCTTTCTTTTTCTAAACAAAACGCAATTTTAGAATTAGTTAGTATCTGTGTTTGAAAATATACAATCATTTTTTTCACAGTGAAAGTAGGAAGCTCACAATAGTGTGAAAATGATATGCCGTTATGAGGCCTTCGTTTTTCGAGCTAAACAGGCCTGAGTTATCTCCCTTAGATTATGACGTAATTGGTGCCAATTCAACTGGGTCCCTGTCTATTCTGAACGCAAAAGATATCAAGTACAAGTTTTCGGTAAAACAACATGGCCTACGACACACTCCGGCGAAGTGGTGACTCAGCATAACACTATGCTGGCTGGCATCTGAGACGCTAGAATCACACACCTGTACCTACACCACGTGAAGCGGCTCTAACAAAGCATGATGACGTCATAATGTTTATCAATTGGCACCAATGACGTCATATTGCAAGGGGCATAAGCCATGGTGTTTTTGTTATGGAAATAGAACACTTGGTAAATGTGAAAAATATAAATCGTTTTAATGCAAAACATATGTTGATTAATTGTGATATTTTTATTTTTTTGTCTATGACACTTCTAGGTTAACACTTTTATTGTGGAAAAAGTACAAGAAAATTAGGTTCATTTCCGTGTGAACTTGCCCTTTAACAATAAAGAACGTCAGTGAGCTCAAAAGGATATTGACAATATAGAACACAGATGTCCCTGCAATTTGTAAAAAAATCAGAGTTTAATTGGCTTGTTCCACCATGTATATGATAACTGCATGCCCAGGTGCACAATGTATTACATCATTCCTCGTGCACTCACCGTCTGACGTCACATATATACCTATATCTACATGTATGTATAATGTATAATGTACACATTGTGTATATACATGTTGCGTTGTAGCATCATCACCGGTCAAGGGCCTTTTCATAAATACAGTAAACTGTTCGCTTCGGCATTCATGTTTGCTTATTTTCTTAAACATTTTAAAACGATTCTAAATCCATTTGATATATATTTTTGATGTTCAGATATTAGGCAGCATTTTGATTATATTCAGTTTGTGAAAAGCTGTTATATAAAACAAATTCTTGCACAATGTTTACTTTTCAGATGTTATGACAATGTGTCTCTGAAACAAGACTCGGCATCATAGCACCCTCATGTTGCACCAAGCATGAACAGTTATTAGATCATTGTAGATTAATCCTAGTTTAGCGTTAAATGAATGTTTATTGAAGATTGTATACAAAATGCGAGTACTACTTAGGCAGATGTTGATTACACAGTATACTGGCGTTCTTTATTGTCAACGTCCTTTCGTGCTCACTGACGTTCTTTATTGTAAACATACTTTTGTGCTCACCGACATTCTTTCGTACACATTGTTCTTTCTTTTCTTATGACGTCTTTTCGTAACATTTGATATATTGATATTTATATTGCATACTTTTGACCTTCATTTCAACTTTGTATTTGTTTAACCGGTGTCTGTTCGTTTTGTATTTTGACCTGTATCAGTAACATTTAGTTCTTTAATTGTAATATTTGACCTTTATTGCGTACTTTTGTCCTTTTTTTCAACTTTGAATTCTTTTATCGAATGGCTGCCCAGATATTTCTACTTTTGTCAGCTATGTTGGCATTCTAAAATCTTATTGAAAAGGGTGTGCTTTGTGAATTCTGTGACACCCACAACGACACCCACAGCCTCGGTGTTGGACTCTTGGTTTCATGGTCTATAAGCCATATTTGATGGAGGGTTTGGAAATCTTGCAAGATCAGAAGTATGATTATTCTCTCCACTCAATACCCCAGCATTCTTGATGCTGTTGGATCTCAATACAAATTATGAGACTTAGCAGGTAAAAGCCTTGACAGATATACAAGCACTTAATAATAATAATAATAATTGATTTGTAAAGCGCCTAATATCCATCGACAGTTGCTCACTGGCGCTGTGACAAAGTTAAAATGTAATGTCTATGTACATATGCCAACAATCAGGAGATCTATTGAAAAGCTGAAGTGAAGAAGTGGGTTTTGAGGAGAGACTTAAACGTTTCCTTAGAAGCAGAGTTTCTCAGATTCAAAGGCAAAGAGTTCCATAACTGTGGACTGCAAAAGGAGAAGGCACGGTCAGAACTTGAGGGTTCTGTCCCTTTCTCCATCAGCATACAGTTTGCAGTAGCTGCTGGCGTGCAAAGGATCTCACCTCACGTTACTTCGAGCACCCACACACAATGCTTGGATGAATCAGTCAACACTTAAAGTATGACCCTCCTCCAATCATCAGATAAAATTCAGGAAGAAATAATACACATGAGTGGCTCCAAATATTTTTCAAAACAATTGAGAGATGTGTGGACTGGCTTATCACTTGATGTGTGTGCCGGTTCTGTTTGGACAAACAATTTATACCTTGTTTGGGACCCATGAAGATCCCGGGGTAGAATAGGTCTTCAGCAACCCATGCTTGCCGTAAAAGGTGACTCTGCTTGTCGTAAAAGGTGACTAACGGGATCGGGTGGTCTGGCTCGCTGACTTGGTTGATGCATGTCATCGATCCCTATTGCGTGGATCGATGCTCATGATATTAATCACTAGATTGTCTGGTCCAGGCTCCGTTATTTACACAGACCGCTGTCATATAGCTGGAATATTGCTGAGTGCGGCGTAAAACAACAAACCAACCAACCAACCAACCAATTGTTCGGGAACAATGGATGGCTTTTTCAGTCTTTTTTTGTATGGCAATAGAAAAATTATTCTCCATGGAAGATGTAAACTTTGTGTAAAGTAGTTTTAACTGTTCCATATTGTAACAATGTTATACAAAATACTGCATTCATTCTTGCAGATTTAGAAATGTGGAAATTTAGTTTCTTGTTTCAAATTTGGTGACAGTTCTCTCCTCAGTATTTAAGCAGATAAATTTTGAAAAGCAATTGAAACTCTTGACTATGTTAGGTTTAGCTACAGTGCTGTGGTACTAACTATATTCCATTAAATTTAATCATAAAGAAAGAACATGGTTTGGTAGGGGTAAAAAAAAACAAAGTTTTGTAGGGATCTTTATATTGTATATTATAATAGTATTGTCTTTCATTGGCTCAAATTTGCCTGGAATGTAAGTCTCTGTTGTTGACCAGGCAGCAGTACAAGGAAGCATTCCTGGCTATGAGGAAACATCGGATCAACATGAACCTGATGTATGACCATGACCCCCAGATGTTCTGTGACCACATCCAGCAGTTCATATCTCAAGTGGAGGCAGTCAACCATCTGAACCTCTTCCTCACGGACCTGCAGTCAGTTCATACTGTTCATACATCTTCAGTCAATCCTGCCATGAATTTGACCTAAGTTCTGCTTTCACTTACTTCCTTTATCTTTGCAGTCTCGTTTGTGGAAACTGATATCTGTCCTTTAATATACTTCCATGATTTTCTTGTAGTTTCTTTCTGTCAATCCATGGCTAAGTCTTTCCTCAATACCTGAATCCAAGTCTAGTCTGCATTCCTATATCCAAGTCTAGTCTGCATACCTTTATGCAAGTCTAGTCTGCATACCTGAATCCTAGTCTAGTCTGCATACCTGAATCCTAGTCTAGTCTGCATACCTTTATCCTAGTCTAGTCTGCATACCTTTATCCAAGTCTAGTCTGCATACCTTTATCCAAGTCTAGTCTGCATACCTTTATCCTAGTCTAGTCTGCATACCTATATCCAAGTCTAGTCTGCATACCTTTATCCAAGTCTAGTCTGCATACCTTTATCCTAGTCTAGTCTGTATACCTATATCCAAGTCTTGTCTGCATACCTTTATCCTAGTCTAGTCTGCATACCTTTATCCTAGTCTAGTCTGCATACCTATATCCAAGTCTAGTCTGCATACCTTTATCCAAGTCTAGTCTGCATACCTTTATGCAAGTCTAGTCTGCATACCTGAATCCTAGTCTAGTCTGTATACCTATATCCAAGTCTTGTCTGCATACCTTTATCCAAGTCTAGTCTGCATACCTTTATCCTAGTCTAGTCTGCATACCTTTATCCAAGTCTAGTCTGTATACCTATATCCAAGTCTTGTCTGCATACCTTTATCCAAGTCTAGTCTGCATACCTTTATCCAAGTCTAGTCTGCATACCTTTATCCAAGTCTAGTCTGCATACCTTTATCCTAGTCTAGTCTGTATACCTTTATCCTAGTCTAGTCTGCATACCTTTATCCAAGTCTAGTCTGCATACCTGAATCCTAGTCTAGTCTGCATACCTTTATCCAAGTCTAGTCTGCATACCTTTATCCAAGTCTAGTCTGCATACCTTTATCCTAGTCTAGTCTGCATACCTTTATCCAAGTCTAGTCTGCATACCTTTATCCAAGTCTAGTCTGCATACCTTTATCCAAGTCTAGTCTGATTACTCAAATCCCAGTCTAGTCTGATTACCTGAATCGTAGTCTAGTCTGCATACCTTACCCAAATCTTGTCTGCATATCTGAATCGTAGTCTAGTCTGCATACCTTTATCCTAGTCTAGTCTGATTACCTGAATTGTAGTCTAGTCTGCATACCTTTGTTCTAGTCTTGTCTGCATACCTTTATCCAAGACTAGTCTGATTACCTGAATTAATGTCTAGTCTGCAAACCTGGATCCAAGTCTAGTCTGCAAGCACGAATGGCAGTATCCAAGTCAGCCAGTCTCAAGTTAATCTTGAGGTCCGCACTAAAGTTCTTTTTATTTTGCAGAGAGGATGATGTGACAGTGACCATGTACACTGCGGCATACAACAGACACTCACAGCCACACAGCCAGGGGACATCCAAGGTGGACAGAGTGTGTGACTGTGTGAGAGAAGCAGTCTCACACCTAGACAGGGACAAGTGAGTTGATTCACTCTGTGTGACTGTGTGAGAGAAGCAGTCTAGACAGGGACAAGTGACTTGATTCACTGTGTGTATGACTGTGAGTGTGGCTGTGTTACTGCGAAGCAATCACACATCTAGACAAAGACAAGTGACATGATGTGTGTATGGCTGTGTTTCTGTGAAGCAATCACACATCTAGACAAAGACAAGTGACATGATGTGTGTATGGCTGTGTTACTGTGAAGCAATCACACATCTAAACAAGGAGGACCAGTGACTTGATGTGTATATGGCTGTGTTACTGTGAAGCAATCACACACCTAGACAAAGACAAGTGACATGATGTGTGTATGGCTGTGTTACTGCGAAGCAATCACACATCTAGACAAAGACAAGTGACATGATGTGTGTATGGCTGTGTTTCTGTGAAGCAATCACACATCTAGACAAAGACAAGTGACATGATGTGTGTATGGCTGTGTTACTGTGAAGCAATCACACATCTAAACAAGGAGGACCAGTGACTTGATGTGTATATGGCTGTGTTACTGTGAAGCAATCACACACCTAGACAAGTGACATGATGTGTGTATGGCTGTGTTACTGTGAAGCAATCACACATCTAGACAAAGACAAGTGACATGATGTGTGTATGGCTGTGTTACTGTGAAGCAATCACACATCTAGACATGGACAAGTGACTTGATGTGTATATGGCTGTGTTACTGTGAAGCAATCACACATCTAGACATGGACAAGTGACTTGATGTGTATATGGCTGTGTTACTGTGAAGCAATCACACATCTAGACATGGACAAGTGACTTGATGTGTGTGTGTGTGTGGCTGGGTGGCTGGGTGAGGGAACCAGTCTGACACCTAGACAAGACAAGTGACTCGATGTGTGTGTGAGGGAACCAGTCTGACACCTAGACAAGGACAAGTGACTTGATGCATGTGTGTCTGGCTGTGTTACTGCGAAGCAGTCTCACACCTAGACAGGGACAAGTGACTTGATTCACTGTGTGTGTGACTGTGTGAGAGAAGCAGTCTAGACAGGGACAAGTGACTTGATTCACTGTGTGTGACTGTGTGAGGGAAGCATTCTTACACCTAGACAGGGACAAGTGACGTGTGTGTGTGTGTGTGTGGCTGTGTGAGGGAAGCAGTCTCACACCTAGACAGGGACAAGTGACTTGATGTGTGTGTGTCTGGCTGTGTTACTGCAAAGCAATCACACATCTAAACAAGGACAAGTGACTTGATGTGTATATGGCTGTGTTACTGGAAAGCAATCACACACCTAAACAAGGAGGACCAGTAACTTGATATGTATATGGCTGTGTTACTGTGAAGCAATCACACACCTAGACAGGGAGAAGTGACTTGATGTGTGTGTGTGTGTGTGTGTGTGTGTGTGTATGGCTGTGTGAGGGAAGCAGTCTGACACCTAGACAGGGACAAGTGACTTGATGTTTGTGTGTGGCTGTGTTACTGTGAAGCAATCACACACCTAGACAGGGAGAAGTGACTTGATGTGTGTGTGTGTGTGTGTGTGTGTGTGTGTATGGCTGTGTGAGGGAAGCAGTCTGACACCTAGACAGGGACAAGTGACTTGATGTGTATATGGCTGTGTTACTGTGAAGCAATCACACACCTAAACAGGGACAAGTGACTTGATGTGTATATGGCTGTGTTACTGTGAAGCAATCACACATCTAGACAGGGAGAAGTGACTTGATGTGTGTGTGTGTGTGGCTTTGTGAGGGAAGCATTCTCACACCTAGACAGGGACAAGTGACTTGATGTGTGTGTGTGGCTGTGTTACTGTGAAGCAATCACACACCTAAACAGGGACAAGTGACTTGATGTGTGTGTGTGTGTGTGTGTGTGTGTATGGCTGTGTGAGGGAAGCAGTCTGACACCTAGACAGGGACAAGTGACTTGATGTGTGTGTGTGTGTGTGTGTGTGAGGGAAGCATTCTCACACCTAGACAGGGACAAGTGACTTGATGTGTGTGTGTGGCTGTGTTACTGCAAAGCAATCACACATCTAGACAAGGACAAGTGACTTGATGTGTGTGTGTGGCTGTGTTACTGTGAAGCAATCACACACCTAAACAAGGAGGACCAGTGACTTGATGTGTATATGGCTGTGTTACTGTGAAGCAATCACACATCTAGACAGGGAGAAGTGACTTGATGTGTGTGTGTGTGTGGCTTTGTGAGGGAAGCATTCTCACACCTAGACAGGGACAAGTGACTTGATGTGTGTGTGTGGCTGTGTTACTGTGAAGCAATCACACACCTAAACAGGGACAAGTGACTTGATGTGTGTGTGTGTGTGTGTGTGTGTGTATGGCTGTGTGAGGGAAGCAGTCTGACACCTAGACAGGGACAAGTGACTTGATGTGTGTGTGTGTGTGTGTGTGTGAGGGAAGCATTCTCACACCTAGACAGGGACAAGTGACTTGATGTGTGTGTGTGGCTGTGTTACTGCAAAGCAATCACACATCTAGACAAGGACAAGTGACTTGATGTGTGTGTGTGGCTGTGTTACTGTGAAGCAATCACACACCTAAACAAGGAGGACCAGTGACTTGATGTGTATATGGCTGTGTTACTGTGAAGCAATCACACACCTAGACAGGGAGAAGTGACTTGATGTATGTGTGTGGCTGTGTGAGAGAAGCAGTCTCACACCTAGACAGGGACAAGTGACTTGATGTGTGTGTCTGGCTGTGTTACTGTAAAGCCCATCACACACCTAGACAACGACAAGTGACTTGATGTGTGTGTGTGTGTGTGTGTGTGTGTGTGTGTGTGTGTGTGTGTGTGTGTGTGTGTGTGTGTGTGTGTGTGTGTGTGTGTGTGTGTGAGTGAGGGAAGCATTCTCACACCTAGACAGGGACAAGTGACTTGATGTGTGTGTGTGGCTGTGTGAGGGAAGCAGTCTCACACCTAGACAGGGACAAGTGACTTGATGTGTGTGTGTCTGGCTGTGTTACTGCAAAGCAATCACACATCTAGACAAGGACAAGTGACTTGATGTGTGTGTGTGTGTGAATGTGTGAGGGAAACAGTCTGACACCTAGACAAGGACAAGCGACTTGATGCGTGTGTGTCTGGCTGTGTTACTGCAAAGCAATCACACATCTAGACCAGGAGGACCAGTGACTTGATGTGTATATGGCTGTGTTACTGTGAAGCAATAACACCTAGACAGGGACAAGTGACTTGATGTGTGTGTGTGTGGCTGTGTTACTGTAAAGCAATCACACACCTAGACAGGGACAAGTGACTTGATGTGTATATGGCTGTGTTACTGTGAAGCAATCACACACCTAAACAAGGAGGACCAGTGACTTGATGTGTATATGGCTGTGTTACTGTGAAGCAATCACACACCTAGACAGGGAGAAGTGACTTGATGTGTGAGTGTGTGTATGGCTGTGTGTGGGAAGCAGTCTCACACCTAGACAGGGACAAGTGACTTGATGTGTGTGTGTGGCTGTGTTACTGTGAAGCAATCACACACCTAGACAAGACAAGTGACTTGATGTATGTTGCTGGCTGTGTGAGGGAAGCCATCTGACAACTGCACAAGGACAAGTTACAAGAATAAGTGACTTGATGTGTGTGTGTGTCTGTGTGAGAGAAGCCATCTGACACCTAGACAAGGAGATGTGACTTGATGTGTGTGTGTGGCTGTGTTACTGTGAAGCAATCACACACCTAAACAAGGTCAAGTGACTTGATGTGTGTTGCTGGCTGTGTGAGAGAAGCCATCTGACAACTGCACAAGGACAAGTTGCTTGTTACTTCATATGTCTTGAACAAACCGCTTTGGAACTGGAAGCTTGTTCATTTATCAAATCACGACTGGTTTAATATGTCAGATCTTGCAAAAAAACAATAGACTATCCATCGAAATAAAGACAGTGAAATGTCCCAAAAAAATATGAACCACCTCTCGAAACTGATTATCACACATATAAGTATTTACTTGTGTGCAAAAGCAAGCCATGATCAATGGCCATACATCTTCCCGAGGCAAGTGAGTTAACTGACTATAAAAGTTCAGTTTCAACCCTTGGTATTATGGAGTTACATTTTGGCTGGACTAACGAGTCTATGCAAAGTCCAATCAAAATCGCGCACCGAAATCGTATCCGGTTCGTAAAGTGTCATGCAGATTTCAGTCGACTGCAGGATTTGCAAAGCATGTGCACCGCTATCTCGTTGTCAACAGATATTTTCTTAATCTTTTCCTGTTTTTAATCAAGGCGCTCACGTGATTTGAAGCACTTCGCGATGTAAGACTTGTTTTATCATAATATAGATCTTGATTATCGATCAGATCGTCTTGACTGGGCGCCACCGTTTTGTTTGAAGCAAATGCAAGTGATACGAGAGGTTGAATCTGATTGGTCAATAGGAGAAGCATAGAAAGGACATAACTCGTAATAGTCACTGGTGGCGCTATGATCGAGCCCAGGAATTCCAGCCTAGTTCGACAAGGGTGGAAACTGGACTTTTAAAGTCAGTTAACTCTCTTGCCTCGGGAAGATGTGGCCATATGACTAAGGTTCAAACTTATTTGCGTTTGTTATACATAATACTGGCATATGACAGATGTTTGTTTTCAGATATTTGCTGACGATCCTGACTTCCTATGTGAGGAAGAGTAAGCCTGACCTGGAGGCTGCCCTCAGTCTTGTGAAGAGTCTCCGAGGTTAGAGGCTTTTCCACTCAGTGGCACAGCCACCTTTGCAATTAGATCTCACAAGTCTTGCCTCATGAAACAGCACTGCAGACATGGTAATGTTTTGTTGGAATGTGCCAGCCACCACTTCATTTCATGTTCTCACTCACTCACTCACTCACTCACTCACTCACTCACTCACTCACTCACTCACTCACTCACTCACTCACTCACTCACTCACTCACTCACTCACTCACTCACTCACTCACTCACTCACTCACTCACTCACTCACTCACTCACTCACTCACTCACTCACTCACTCACTCACTCACTCACTCACTCACTCACTCACTCACTCACTCACTCACTCACTCACTCACTCACTCACTCACTCACTCACTCACTCACTCACTCACTCACTCACTCACTCACTCACTCACTCACTCACTCACTCACTCACTCACTCACTCACTCACTCACTCACTCACTCACTCACTCACTCACTCACTCACTCACTCACTCACTCACTCACTCACTCACTCACTCACTCACTCACTCACTCACTCACTCACTCACTCACTCACTCACTCACTCACTCACTCACTCACTCACTCACTCACTCACTCACTCCGTGAACACCCTGGTAAGAAGAGGTCTTCAGCAATCAATGCTTGCCGTAAAAGGCAACTATGCTTGTCATAAGAGGCGACTTTTGGGATCCGGTGGTCAGGCTCACTGACTTGGTTGATGCATGTCATCGTATCCCAATTGTGTGGATTGATGCTTATGATGTTAATCACTGGATTGTCTGGCCCTGACTTGATTATTTACAAACCGCTATCATATTGCTGAATGCGGCATTAAACAACAAACAAACAACCAAACCCTCGCTCATCGTTGTTGTGTTATTCATTTTATATACAATACCCTTCAGAGACAAGAAAGGAGGGAGTCAGTGTGACAGCCGAGGAGACACTCAAGTACCTGCTCTTCCTTGTTGATGTCAATGAACTGTATGATGTGGCCCTTGGATCTTATGACTTTGACCTTGTGTTGATGGTCGCAGAGAAATCTCACAAGGTGAAATCCTTTACCAGTTTTAGTCTTTCCATTCCTAAGTGTGGACATATCTGAACAATTTTGTCCAGCTCCCCATCAGGATCAAAGTTACAGGTGTTCAGAACTCAGTGACTTGTTGTAAGAAGCGAGTCAATTGAATGGGATTCAAGGCTTAGTGACTGTGTTGTTTTACCCCTACAGCATAGGATCTTGTTAATAATATCAACCACTAGTTTGTCTGGCCCAGACTCGTATATTTAAAGGTTTCTGTGATATAAGTGGACTAAAACATTTAACAAACAAAGCAACATCCATTTTGTCTTGGTATATCATTACATTAGTTTTTATTATACAAAAATATATACTCTGTTTGACTGAACAAGAAAGGAATTTTGGCCTAATGCGCTACTGAGTGGAACTCTAGATTTAAAGATTATTTTTAAATAATGTGACTTTTTACTGATATGTTGTTCTTGATTTGATAGAATTGAATAAACATGTGTGGATATAAAGAAATAGGATTGAACATTATGTTATTTGCACCCAATTAGGATTCTGGGTGAGAATTGGTCCCCAGGATCAGATGGTGATCAGATCTGTGTCTTGACTTTTTCTATGCCATCATACCCCCAAGGCATGGGTCGTTGCTCATGATTTAGTGACTGGATTGTCTGGTCCAGACTCAATTATTTCCCACTTCCCTCGTGTTATAGCTGAATATTGCTGTCTTTAGTATTAAATAACAATTACTTACTCACCTATGTTGTGTTTTGATGACCTCAGGACCCAAAGGAGTATATCCCATTCCTTAACAAATTGCGTAGAATGGAGGAGAACTACCGCAGGTTTGCCATCGATCAACATCTCCGCCGCTTCAGAAAAGCTCTACATCACATTGCTGGCTGTGGTGAGTCTAATGCAAGAGAGTCATCCTACATTTAACTCCTAACCCATGTCCAGGTGTTGTATGTGGTGAGACTAGCATATGTAGCACACAGAGAATCATCCTATAGGGGACCTCCTGACCCATCAGTGATGTGGTGAGTCTGGCTCCTGTAGCACATGGAGAACTATCCTACAGGGGACCTCCTGACCCATCAGTGATGTGGTGAGTCTGGCTCCTGTAGCACATGGCAAGTCTTCCTACAGGGGACTTCCTGACCCATCAGTGATGTGGTGAGTCTGGCTCCTGTAGCACACGGCAAGTCTTCCTTCATAGGACCTCCTGACCCATCAGTGATGTGGTGAGTCTGGCTCCTGTAGCACACGGCAAGTCTTCCTACAGAGGACCTCCTGACCCATCATTGATGTGGTGAGTCTGGCTCCTGTAGCACACGGCAAGTCTTCCTACAGAGGACCTCCTGACCCATCATTGATGTGGTGAGTCTGGCTCCTGTAGCACACGGCAAGTCTTCCTACAGAGGACCTCCTGACCCATCATTGATGTGGTGAGTCTGGCTCCTGTAGCACACAGCAAGTCTTCATACAGAGGTCCTCCTGACCCATCATTGATGTGGTGAGTCTGGCTCCTGTAGCACACGGCAAGTCTTCCTACAGAGGTCCTCCTGACCCATCATTGATGTGGTGAGTCTGGCTCCTGTAGCACATGGCAAGTCTTCCTACAGAGGACCTCCTGACCCATCATTGATGTGGTGAGTCTGGCTCCTGTAGCACACGGCAAGTCTTCCTACAGAGGACCTCCTGACCCATCATTGATGTGGTGAGTCTGGCTCCTGTAGCACATGGCAAGTCTTCCTACAGGGGACCTCCTGACCCATCATTGATGTGGTGAGTCTGGCTCCTCTAGCACACAGCAAGTCTTCCTACAGAGGACCTCCTGACCCATCATTGATGTGGTGAGTCTGGCTCCTGTAGCACACAGCAAGTCTTCATACAGGGGACTTCCTGACCCATCATTGATGTGGTGAGTCTGGCTCCTGTAGCACACGGCAAGTCTTCCTACAGAGGATCTCCTGACCCATCATTGATGTGGTGAGTCTGGCTCCTGTAGCACATGGCAAGTCTTCCTACAGAGGACCTCCTGACCCATCATTGATGTGGTGAGTCTGGCTCCTGTAGCACACGGCAAGTCTTCCTACAGAGGATCTCCTGACCCATCATTGATGTGGTGAGTCTGGCTCCTGTAGCACACGGCAAGTCTTCCTACAGAGGTCCTCCTGACCCATCATTGATGTGGTGAGTCTGGCTCCTGTAGCACATGGCAAGTCTTCCTACAGAGGACCTCCTGACCCATCATTGATGTGGTGAGTCTGGCTCCTGTAGCACACGGCAAGTCTTCCTACAGAGGACCTCCTGACCCATCATTGATGTGGTGAGTCTGGCTCCTCTAGCACATTGCAAGTCTTCCTACAGGGGACTTCCTGACCCATCAGTGATGTGGTGAGTCTGGCTCCTCTAGCACATTGCAAGTCTTCCTACAGGGGACCTCCTGACCCATCAGTGATGTGGTGAGTCTGGCTCCTCTAGCACACGGCAAGTCTTCCTACAGAGGACCTCCTGACCCATCAGTGATGTGGTGAGTCTGGCTCCTGTAGCACATTGCAAGTCTTCCTACAGGGGACTTCCTGACCCATCAGTGATGTGGTGAGTCTGGCTCCTGTAGCACACAAAAAATCACCCTACAGGGAACCTTCTAAATCTTAACATAAGTGGAAATCAGATATTTTGTTGTAAACATTTTCCACCTTGGTTTCTCCTGCAGGTGAAGATAGGTTCCAGGAATGTCTGTCCTATGTAGAGGAGCACAAGTTATATGGGGATGCTCTAAGGCTATTTCCCCCAAGGACTTCACAGTACAAGGTATGGCTCGGACCTACTTCTCACACACAAAGTTGCCAGTCCTTGTTTATGGCCTGTTTATGTTATGGTTAGTGTTAGAATACATCATAGACTTCTACTGTCAAGTGTTATCTGCAGAAATACAACCATAATCAACAAGAATTATACACACCAACAATTATACACAACAGAATTCTTTGGGCTGTGGAGCTAAGTATGCTTTGTGGAATGAAGCTCAGAGGTCTTTTACCAGTGATGCTTTGTGCATCATTTTCTCATACATCTTAAAATTTCATCAAAGGTCTTTAAGCTGAAATCCAATATGACTCCTATAATCTGAGAGTTGTATGTGTTGTATATGTTATGTGTATGGAGATTCTTGAAGCATGTGTTATCTTTATTACAGCAATTGGCAACATCGTATGGGAACTATTTGTGTGTGAAGAACCGTTCGGACGAAGCAGGGGTGATGTACATCAAGTCTGAGGAGTGGGAGCTAGCACTGGAGGCCTTCACAGCATGCAACAACTGGAGACAGATGTTCTGCCTGACTGTCAAACTTGGTTACTCTTCAGAACAGGAAGCAGAGATAGCCAGGCAATGTGCACGTAAGTTGGATGCTTTGTATTTTCTAAATTAATTATGGCAGTAAGGTGTTATTTTGTCATAACACCACAAGATTGTCACACAGTACAGTGAGATTGTCACATTGATAGCTATGTAAAGTTAGGTGGCACAGTGAGGTCACACAGTACAGTGAGATTGTCTCAAAGGTGGCACACTAGAGTCACACAGGTGTCACAGTGAGGTCACCGAGGTGGGACAGTAACACAGGTGGCCCAGTCCGGTCACACAGGTAGCACAGTGAGGTTGTCACACAGGTGTCACAGTGAAGTTGTCACAAAGGTGTCACAGTGAGATTGTCACAGGTGGCAAAGTGAGGTTGTCACGAAGGCGTCACAGGGAGATTGTCACACAGGTGTCACAGTGAGGTTGTCACACAGGGAGCACAGTGAGGTGGTCACACAGGGAGCACAGTGAGGTTGTCACACAGGTGGCACAGTGAGATTGTCACACAGGTGGCACAGTGAGATTGTCACGAAGGTGTCACAGGGAGATTGTCACGCAGGTGTCACAGTGAGGTTGTCACACAGGTGTCACAGGGAGATTGTCACACAGGTGGCACAGTGAGATTGTCACAGGTGGCACAGTGAGATTGTCACAGGTGGCACAGTGAGATTGTCACAGTGAGGTCACACAGGTGTCACAGTGAGATTGTCACACAGGTGTCACAGTGAGGTTGTCACACAGGGAGCACAGTGAGGTTGACACACAGGTATCACAGTGAGGTTGTCACACAGGTGGCACAGTGAGGTTGTCACACAGGTGTCACAGTGAGGTTGTCACACAGGTGGCACAGTGAGGTCACACAGGTGTCACAGTGAGGTTGTGACACAGGTGTCACAGTGAGGTCACACAGGTGGCACAGTGAGGTCACACAGGTGGCACAGTGAGGTTGTCACACAGGGAGCACAGTGAGGTTGTCACACAGGTGGCACAGTGAGGTTGTCACACAGGTGTCAGTGAGGTTGTCACACAGGTGTCACAGTGAGGTTGTCACACAGTGGGCACAGTGAGGTTGTCACACAGGTGTCACAGTGAGGTTGTCACACAGGTGTCACGGTGAGGTTGTCACACAGTTGACACAGTGAGGTTGTCACACAGGTGGCACAGCGAGGTTGTCACACAGTTGACACAGTGAGGTTGTCACACAGGTGTCACAGTGAGGTTGTCACACAGGTGTCACAGTGAGGTTGTCACACAGGTGTCACAGTGAGATTGCCACAGGTGGCACAGTGAGGTCACACAGGTGGCACAGTGAGGTCACACAGGTGGCACAGTGAGGTTGTCATACAGGTGGCACAGTGAGGTTTTCACACATGCTCAGCTAGCTCCAAAGACACCCAGTGTAGATATTTGGTGACAGAGCTACTTTGTTAAAATAAAATCATAGTTTATGCATATATGCTTAGTTGAAATATAAATTTGTGTTTATTGCACAAACCAGGCCAGCTGCAAAGCATGAAGAAGTTCTCGGATGCTGCAGTGGTGTTTGAGACATATGCTAAGGTATGTTACTTCTGTGAATGTTTGGCATAAGATAGATTTGATGTGTGAGTGTGTTGTGAAGGTTTGTCATTGGTACAGGTAGAAAGTCTGTGTATATTAAACAGTAAATAAATTGCAAGTGATTTAGTGGCATTGATTGGCAAACCAAGCAATTATTTTTTAATTTATGTTTCCACAAAACAAAAGCATTAGGCCACGCCCACTGACAGACTACTCTTTCTTGAATGGGCACAGCTTGGTTGCATTTCGGTGCTGAATAACGTCACTGATTTGGTATTGTTGTCTACTGTTTGTGTTGATGATTAAATAACTGACTAAGTTATTATTGTTGATGTATTTATTTATAAAAATTGCCTTCAATAAATGTCAGTGTGAACTTTGCGTAAATCTGCATAATAATATAATTACAAGCTATCGCTATCGCTAAACAAAGATCTGAGGACATCTCATTCCAGGTCACATCTGAATGACCTTTCATCTGACCAATCAAAGCTTCGCTTACCAGATCATGAAAGTGACAGTTGGAATGTGTTTTTTAATCATGCAACCTCGAAAAAGTCAACATGGGGTATTCTGAATGACAGTTAAAGACCGTACAACTGATTCCGTCAAAATTATCGTCCATATCTTGCTTCCGTGGGATAAATTTTTGAACGGAGGAGGCGTTACACAGTACGTGGGAAGCACTGCCATAGAATCTCAACCATTTATTAGACATTCCGGAATGTTCGGGTTTTTTTTCAGTTTTCAAAATTTTAATCAAGAACTGAGTCAACATACTTTTCAAGTGTAGTCTGAAATGGAAGTTGCCAGGTTGAAACGAGTGTCGTAAAGCTATAGAAAGATGCTTTCTAATTGACTGATGTCAACTTCTTGTTAGTCATTTCAGTGGTCGGTCAAAGTTCGTGAAAGGTCGTTCTGACGTGACCCGTAATGGGATGTCCTCAGATCTTTGTTAAGGGGCAGCGAGAACCTAGATCTGATATTAATGAGATTTTGACTTTTTTATCTTTATCTTTGACCCTGAGTGGACATCATTATCAGAATACTCCAACAACAGTTCAAAATCATACCAGCAAATATCTTTATTCGTAATGTTGGAAATATTCTAGACATTCTCAGGTGACCTACAGAGTGAATTTGGCTGTTCCTTGTTGTCAGTGATGCTGGTCCTCTTGCTGTCAGCTTCATACTTGACTACTGATGTTGTTGTGACATCTGCAGTCAGTACAAAAGGTCTACAACATGACAAAGAAATACTGCAGTGCTGCTGCTGGAGTCCCCAGGCTGGCTGACCCAGTGACAAAGACGTTGACAGAGAGACCCTGAATGGACTGAGCTACGTTAATAAAGCTGTTTACATGGAACAAATGTGTTGCTTTCTGTTACAGGATGTTGAGGAAGCCATTGTCTGCCTGATAGAAGGTGCATTATGGGAAGAAGCTATGAGAATGGTGAGTCAGTGACATCTCCATGGGCTTCACTCATTGTACCAATGTTGTGAATGAAATCTGAGTCTTTGTCATACTGAAATAACACATTATCTGCTTGAATAACTCGACCACTGGCCACATTTACTTAGTTACTAGCATTTTCATAACGCTTTATTAAAGTTAGCTAATGTTAATGTATTATTAATATTCTTACTTCATCATTGTACTAGATGGTATATGTTGGCCCAGTAGTGATAAATACTGGCCATTAAAACGGACAATATAAAAATATGAAAAAATATTCTCCATCACTGTGCAAGTGTTCTTCCATATGTTACAAGGTTTACAAGGGACACGTACAGAGTAATGGATATAACATACTATATAAGCAATGGTTTGTTTTAAAGATGCACCAACATAGAAGAACTGATTTCATTGAAACAAATCTGAAGACTGCTCTGCTAGAATGTCATGAACAACACTTGGAGACTCTGGAGGAGTACAGGGACAATTTCGAGAGACACAAGAACAGGCTTAGTGTTGTTCGGGAACAAAATGAGAGACAGAAACTGGAGATTATGGGTGAGTTGGTTGATCCGCGACACAACAAGAGTCAAAAGGTAAGACAAACAAAAATTGATTGATTAGTTCTGAACCTCACACAGAAGGAATTGCACAAGTGTGAAATCTTTTGTTGTTGACATCACATGATGTTATAGAGGTATAGCCACAAAAACTTGAGTCAGTTGAGCAAATTGTTTCACTGTTACAAGTCCGTAAAATATGCAAGGGTCTGTGACCTTTGGAAAATGGACAAACTTGAGTAACGTGTAGTTTAAGGACTTGCATTAAAAAGGCTTAACACCAAAAGCCATGCACCGATGAAGACAGACAACACCAGGGGAGGATGCCCCTTCCTATGTCACTGTAAAGAGATGGGCAGCATGAAGCATGGCAGGGAGGACATACAAGACAGTACCACACCAGGGGAGGATGCCCCTTCCTATGTCACTGTAAAGAGATGGGCAGCATGAAGCATGGCAGGGAGGACATACAAGACAGTACAACACCAGGGGAGGATGCCCCTTCCTATGTCACTGTAAAGAGATGGGCAGCATGAAGCATGGCAGGGAGGACATACAAGACAGTACCACACCAGGGGAGGATACCCCTTCCTATGTCACTGTAAAGAGATGGGCAGCATGAAGCGTGGCAGGGAGGACATACAAGACAGACAACACCAGGGGAGGATGCCCCTTCCTATGTCACTGTAAAGAGATGGGCAGCATGAAGCATGGCAGGGAGGACATACAAGACAGTACCACACCAGGGGAGGATGCCCCTTCCTATGTCACTGTAAAGAGATGGGCAGCATGAAGCGTGGCAGGGAGGACATACAAGACAGTACCACACCAGGGGAGGATGCCCCTTCCTATGTCACTGTAAAGAGATGGGCAGCATGAAGCATGGCAGGGAGGACATACAAGACAGACAACACCAGGGGAGGATGCCCCTTCCTATGTCACTGTAAAGAGATGGGCAGCATGAAGCATGGCAGGGAGGACATACAAGACAGTACCACACCAGGGGAGGATGCCCCTTCCTATGTCACTGTAAAGAGATGGGCAGCATGAAGCGTGGCAGGGAGGACATACAAGACAGACAACACCAGGGGAGGATGCCCCTTCCTTTGTCACTGTAAAGAGATGGGCAGCATGAAGCATGGCAGGGAGGACATACAAGACAGTACCACACCAGGGGAGGATGCCCCTTCCTATGTCACTGTAAAGAGATGGGCAGCATGAAGCATGGCAGGGAGGACATACAAGACAGTACAACACCAGGGGAGGATGCCCCTTCCTATGTCACTGTAAAGAGATGGGCAGCATGAAGCATGGCAGGGAGGACATACAAGACAGACAACACCAGGGGAGGATGCCCCTTCCTATGTCACTGTAAATAGATGGGAAGCATGGCAGGGAGGACATACAAGACAGTACCACAACAGGGGAGGATGCCCCTTCCTATGTCACTGTAAAGAGATGGGCAGCATGAAGCGTGGCAGGGAGGACATACAAGACAGTACAACACCAGGGGAGGATGCCCCTTCCTATGTCACTGTAAAGAGATGGGCAGCATGAAGCGTGGCAGGGAGGACAAACAAGACAGTACAACACCAGGGGAGGATGCCCCTTCCTATGTCACTGTAAAGAGATGGGCAGCATGAAGCATGGCAGGGAGGACATACAAGACAGTACCACACCAGGGGAGGATGCCCCTTCCTATGTCACTGTAAAGAGATGGGAAGCATGAAGCGTGGCAGGGAGGACATACAAGACAGTACCACACCAGGGGAGGATACCCCTTCCTATGTCACTGTAAACAGATGGGCAGCATGAAGCGTGGCAGGGAGGACATACAAGACAGTACCACACCAGGGGAGGATGCCCCTTCCTTTGTCACTGTAAAGAGATGGGCAGCATGAAGCATGGCAGGGAGGACATACAAGACAGTACCACACCAGGGGAGGATGCCCCTTCCTATGTCACTGTAAAGAGATGGGCAGCATGAAGCATGGCAGGGAGGACATACAAGACAGTACAACACCAGGGGAGGATGCCCCTTCCTATGTCACTGTAAAGAGATGGGCAGCATGAAGCATGGCAGGGAGGACATACAAGACAGACAACACCAGGGGAGGATGCCCCTTCCTATGTCACTGTAAATAGATGGGAAGCATGGCAGGGAGGACATACAAGACAGTACCACAACAGGGGAGGATGCCCCTTCCTATGTCACTGTAAAGAGATGGGCAGCATGAAGCGTGGCAGGGAGGACATACAAGACAGTACAACACCAGGGGAGGATGCCCCTTCCTATGTCACTGTAAATAGATGGGAAGCATGAAGCGTGGCAGGGAGGACATACAAGACAGTACCACACCAGGGGAGGATACCCCTTCCTATGTCACTGTAAAGAGATGGGCAGCATGAAGCGTGGCAGGGAGGACATACAAGACAGTACCACACCAGGGGAGGATACCCCTTCCTATGTCACTGTAAAGAGATGGGCAGCATGAAGCGTGGCAGGGAGGACATACAAGACAGTACCACACCAGGGGAGGATGCCCCTTCCTATGTCACTGTAAAGAGATGGGCAGCATGAAGCATGGCAGGGAGGACATACAAGACAGTACCACACCAGGGGAGGATGCCCCTTCCTATGTCACTGTAAATAGATGGGCAGCATGAAGCATGGCAGGGAGGACATACAAGACAGACAACACCAGGGGAGGATGCCCCTTCCTATGTCACTGTAAAGAGATGGGCAGCATGAAGCATGGCAGGGAGGACATACAAGACAGACAACACCAGGGGAGGATGCCCCTTCCTTTGTCACTGTAAAGAGATGGGCAGCATGAAGCATGGCAGGGAGGACATACAAGACAGTACAACACCAGGGGAGGATGCCCCTTCCTATGTCACTGTAAAGAGATGGGCAGCATGAAGCATGGCAGGGAGGACATACAAGACAGACAACACCAGGGGAGGATGCCCCTTCCTATGTTACTGTAAAGAGATGGGCAGCATGAAGCATGGCAGGGAGGACATACAAGACAGTACCACACCAGGGGAGGATGCCCCTTCCTATGTCACTGTAAAGAGATGGGCAGCATGAAGCATGGCAGGGAGGGCGTACAAGACAGTACCACACCAGGGGAGGATGCCCCTTCCTATGTTACTGTAAAGAGATGGGCAGCATGAAGCATGGCAGGGAGGGCGTACAAGACAGACCTGTCCTTGTAGGCATGTCATGTCAGAAACACCAGAAAAATCTGGGGAATCCTTGATATGGTGATGACCACCCGTTGAATGAGTGTCATATTGCTAGTTTTGTAGGCATTTCCCAGCTCTGTTTAAAACTGATACAGACATAGGTTGTAGAATGTTAGCGACAGGAGATAGGAGGAGATGGGATGTGTGGGAGTTGACAAGTGACTCAAGTCAAGAGGAAGAGAGATAACTCTAACCAACATTTGGTGACATTTGTTTCTTAAATATCAGTAAATAGAACAGTATTTCTCTTCAAGAATAGGAACTGTTATTTGTTTCATGTGGTCGTTGTGATGATATTTTAATTAACTCATCCTTGAGTCACCCTTACAGTATAAGAAAACAGAAATTATTTGGAGAGCTTAAATATTTGATAACCGAACTTTGTAAAAATTGTGTTTAGCAATTTAATTTGCAACTTGTATGTTTTATTAACTAAACTGAAGATCAGATTTGATGTTTTACAGTGCATGTTCAATTTAAAGATAAGTCCCCAGGAATGGGAAAGCGACATCTATACTAACCATTTGAGTTTATATTTCACATTCACTGAAATGCAGCCAACAAAAACAATGTATATTTCATCTGTGTACTTTACTTCCAGTGTATGAACTGTTTCCTGGTTTGCCTCCCTCATGTGTGCTAATAATCAACAGACAAGCCATGACTTGATAAGCAGTGTTATCATGTGCGTTGCTAGTTTGGTGTTCTGTTAGCGTAAGCAAAAAGCAGATGTGTATAAGATGAAGGTAATTAATTGATGACAAACAGGTACTCAAGTCCGAGTCAGGTAACAACAAATGGGAACTCAATTTCAAACGGGTACTTGAGTCCAAGTCAGGTAATGACAAACGGGTACTTGAGTCCAAGTCAGGTAATGACAAACGGGTAGTTGAGCCCAAGTCAGGTAATGACAAACGGGTTGTTGAGTCCAAGTTGGATAATTATAAACGGGTACTTGAGTCCAAGTTGGATAATATCAAACGGGTACTTGAGTCCAAGTCAGGTAATGACAAACGGGAACTTGAGTCCAAGTCAGGTAATGACAAATGGGTACTTGAGTCCAAGTTGGATAATAAAAAAACGGGTACTTGAGTCCAAGTTGGATAATGACAAACGGGTACTTGAGTCCAAGTTGGATAATGACAAACAGGTACTTGAGTCCAAGTTGGATAATGACAAACGGGTACTTGAGTCCAAGTCCGATAATGACAAACAGGAATTGAGTCCAAGTCAGGTAATGACAAACAGGTAGTTGAGTCCAAGTCGGATAATGACAAACGGGTACTTGAGTCCAAGTTGGATAATGACAAACGGGTACTTGAGTCCAAGTCAGGTAATGACAAACGGGTACTTGAGTCCAGTTTTTTTCTACCTGTCACAACCCGAAACAGGAGATTGGATAAGGAGGAGTCAACAAGTGAAACATAGGTTGAAGAGGAGAGTGAAACACTTGGACACTTTTAATATTATATTATCATTAATTGTATCTGAAAACATGGAGAAGATAACCAAATTGTGAGATGACTCAAATGTACTGTTACTTCATTTTGTTTGCTAAAAGCTGACAACTTTCTGTTTAGATGGCGATGTACCGTGCAACAATGCGGACTCTGACTTGTTCTCTGACACCAGCAGTGCTACAGGCGTCAGTGTTCAGTCCTCTCACTACTCCTACAACAGCCAGAGATCAACAGTCATCAGCCGAGGCACTGGGTAGGGTGTATGTTACAGACATGAGTGTGACAGTACGGGTATAGGTAATGTTATATATATTCATTGCAGAGACATGTGGTATTTAGACTGCAATGAAAAAATTATATTTAGTTTTCTTTGACTATTAACAGGAACTCATTTACTCGGCAGTCTTAAAGATCTAACAGAGCATAATTCGCTATGCAGAGTTTTTCTGCTCAAATTGGTCAGTGAAATACATGTCACTTCTACAGAGCCATAACATTAAATTCGTAATTCAAATATGAGAAAATGTACTGAAATTTGCTGCAGGTTTGGGGTTGGTTGCCGGTCTCAGAGCAGGTCTGGATAAATCCCTGACTATGATCATTGCTTTTAGTCCAAGATTCATCCTGATTAGGTTTCTAGGTTTGTTAGTACCTGTGTTCATGGGTTTCACCAACATGGTAAACATCTAAGACCTGCCTCAGTTTGGGCTCTCCTGCCACAAGCAGACCCAATGTGATGTAACTGAAATAATGTTCAATGTGGCTTCAACGAAACCCACTCACTCACTCATCAGCTGAAGAGTCCCCAGTCTATCCCCCATGATGGGGTGATCTCACTTTCAAACACTAACATTGTGTGTTTTTGTAAAAACATGGAGTGGTTAGATTTCCTTTTAAAAGTGACCACAGTCTTATGTTTTACGTTAGGTCACTTTCTCTATTTTGTAAACTGTCTGTCAGAATGATTTGAAGACCATGGTGGTTCTGTGCTACAGTACACCCATAACATATTGACAGCCATGCAACAGCATGTCCTATTGAAGAAACATTAATGGTCATGTTTGAGTGAGCCTGTAGCATAGGTGCTGCCAGTATGACTGGTCAAGGGATACCAGTCCTCTTTTTCCAGGAATTCAGGTTTGTTTGTAAGGTAACCAAAACATGATAATATAGGCAGGATTTACCTTTTGGATCATAAACAATGAATTCTACATACAGCACTTGGTTTTGTACATATACTTGTGAATAAATTCCACCTGTGCATGCTTAACTTTTGGTCATGAGTAGCTGACCCTTGTCATTTAAACAAATCAGTTTGGAAGTTATTTGAATTTGTACCTTTAGTTTTGGTTCAGCTGGAAGTGTTCTGTTTGAATATCCAAGTGGTGTTGGTGGAATGAGATGTGTTTGTTGTCCTGTAGGCGCTCCTCCAAGAGCAGAAAGAAGGGGGACAGCCAGAGGTGGAGTCTGAAGGAGGGCAGTCAGTATGAAGACTGTGCACTCATAGATGCTCTGGCAAAGATCATCACCGCTGTGGACAGCTTGAAGGGTGGGTCATCTCCACTGGGTGACCACATGCACCATGTGATATTAGCAGGCTTCAAATTTGATATTGTTACAAGTTAGAATGAAATATTTTTGTTTTTGAAAGTGATGGCATTCTCCATTTTCATCTTAACAATACGCTGTCTTGCACATGCCACCTCTAAACTTTTAACTTTTCCATCTAATTTATGCGATGCTTTATTATTATGTGTTGACGTAACACTCTTGATGCCTTTAAAAGGCATTGTAAATGCATTATTAGAATCTATGTTTCAGAGGAAGTGAACTCTCTGATGAGGGCACTAGTGCAGTTTTACTATGATGCCTTAGCTTTGTCCCTACACCAGCAGTTGGACTCCTTCCTCACACTGATTGACAGGTCCATCCCCTGCATCTGGCTGGATGAAGGCCCGCAAGATGCTAACCCAGTGAGTCATACCGTCATCACATCAGCCTACAACAAATCATGAACCACGTCTACAGAACCCACCTGCAGAGGGGTTTCTTGTCTCTCACTAGTCTCACATTATGTTTGGTATCTGTGGAGGATGTCGTCCACCTGGCATAGAATGGAGGGATGTAATATTGTGCATGTCTGCCTGTGTCATTTCTTCTCCAAGTTTTGTAATCAGTTGACAAAATATGCTGGTGTGTGGTGTAGTGGTGCCTTTTGCAAATTAGAAACTATTCTTTTCGATTAGGGGCATATTCTGAAAGCAAGTTAGACATAGCTTCAATTGATGTTAGGATGAGGAGTGTTAGAGATGTACACAGTTTATGCTAGTCACTAAAACATACTGTGGGTAAACATGGTAAAGTTGATGTTGTAGTTGAAGGTGTTATGGTGGCTCAACAGGCAAATAATGAGTTATTTGCCATGTGATCAAGGTATATCAGGGCATGGCCACTTTGTCACTTGCCAAATCCATTCACCTACTTTGTACTTTGGACACAAATACAAGTACAAAATGTGTGAAGAGATTAGGTGGGGACTTGCCTTGTGATTATACATAGTGAGAAAACAAACAGAGGCAAATGTTGCACCATGTCTATGTTGGATTAGTGGGAGCTGACAGAACCTTTTTATTGTTTAGACATTTTAGCTCAACTGACTAAAGTCAAGTTAGCTTATTTCAAGATGTGTTCTCCCACCTGGTTGTCCATCTTTAACTTGTGCATTTCCTCATCTCCTCTGAAACTACAAGGCTTGTGGGACTGAAAGTTGGTTTGAATGATTCCAGCTATGGTGTTCTAAAACTTGTTCACAGAATTCTGATCCGATTATGAACAAAGCTGCTGTTATTTCTTCATAACTCAGGTGAGAAACAGAGCCTTTTGGCTCTATTTTTTTATTAATCTTTCTTTTAATCTAGTGCTGAGTGCATGTAAATCTGTTGTCCATGTATTCAGTACATGTCCTGTTTCAGGTGCTGGGTCCTAACATGACGTCAAACGCCATAGCACAGGCCATGCAACAAGGCAGCAGTATTAACGCTAGTGAAAAGAAAGGTATGTTCGTGGATAGTAGAGATGGTAATGTGCGTGACTTAGTGTAATTCCAGTATGATACACATTTAACCTATCAATAGAAAACTAGTAGTGTTCCAACTGTGTTGTCTTTGTGTGACAATTTGTTGACATATTTCAGATCCAGTGCTGATTGCCCCACCCAAGCGTAGGAAGGATGTTCGCTGGAGACTACACATGGTGCACACTGGAGGAGACTGATGGCCCCACTGGTGATGAAGCACGGTCTGCATCCAGAGCCCTGGTTCTATTGCATGACCATGGACCTGTGTTTGAGATGGGATCTGTACACAAGACTTTGAACAGACATTGTCTTGTGTAGGAAGGGGAACATGTACAGAATACTTGAACAGGGTTGTGTACAGAATACATGAAAAGTAGGGCTGGGGTGAGAATTTACTACCTGTGTACCCAACCTTCTATTACCCTAACCCTTCCCGGAGAGTTGAATACAAAGTGTCCCATTGGGAAATGTGTTACTGGAGCCCTGGCAAAAACTATTTAGATATACGTATAAAATAATCTGATCATGCATACACTGGAGCTAACTGAAGCTTTATCGTTACTAAAACATAAACCTGATCCAACACTTGCATAGTCAGAAATGCAAACATTAGCGATAAATAGTGCAACCATGGAGTTTTAATGTTTTTGTCATGAAACATGCGACTAACAACGGTTCCTACTCAGGAGTTACCTGTCTTAACCCTATAAAGAAAAGGCATCCCCCTGTGTTTGAAGTGCAATATGTACACAATACTTCAACAGACGATGACCTGTGTTTGAAGTGGAATATGTGCACAGCACTTGAACAATGACCTGTGTTTGAATTGGAATATGTTCACAGTACTTGAACAGACGATGACCTGTGTTTGAAGCGGAATATATACACAGTATTTGAACAGACGATGACCTGTGTAGGAAGTGGTATATGTGTACAATAATATCCAATCTTTTCTTTCATGTGAAATGTGCACCATACATATATTTGTTGATATTAAGTGTTTATTTGATCTTTAGAAAGAAAATGGTATGTAATTGTACAATGACTGAAAGAACAAAGCCATATGGTTTTCAAGAAAAATATGTTCAAGTAGGTGACTTATTTTGTCTTTTGACAGAAGCTAGGTTGGTTCGTTGTTTAACGCCGCCATCAGAAATATTCCAGGTATATGACGGCAGTCTGTAAATAATAGAGTCTGGATCAGAAAATCCAGTGATTGACATCATGAGCATCAATCCACGCAATTGGGATACGATGACATGCATCAACCAGGTCAGTGAGTCTTACCACCCTATCCCATTAGTCGCCTTTTACAGAAGCTAGGGGTACTACCAAGTGTGAAGCTTCAGGATAAATATTGACGACCAAGATGAATGCGATGGGAACATTAATCCGATGGTGGGTCATCGTAGTGACACCTCACACACTGTCCTGCTGTCTATCTGTTTAACGTATGACATCATGCATTCATAACTTGTTTAATGATTTTTATCTTACTACTTTATGCATCTACTGCTGCTCTTGACAGAAAGCGCTGTGTGAGGTCTTGTTGAAGAAGAAGTTGTTTCAACTTGTTGTGTGGCTGATCCCATCACATAGCTCCCATGTGACCACAGAAGTGATGACATCGCGTATCATCACATTTTTGCTGTCATTCAGAGAGAACAGTGCCCTGTTTTGAGCTCTCAGCTTTATCCATTACAATCCTCTGCGTGTTATTATAAAACTAGTGTTTTATGTGAATGGTATCCTTCCTTTGGTTTGTGTCATCATATATTACATATGATTTTTACCATAGCATTAATATTTAACACTTGATGGTGACTTGTTGTGCCAATTAGCCATTTTGAATTCACTTCAAGGTCACGTTTTGTATTCTTTGTGTTGCTTGTTAATATTGTATTTTGTTGTATCTATGCTTCCCTACGGTTATTAAAGTGTTTTATTTACCTTTTTTGTGTTACATACATACATACATACATACATACATACATACATACATACATACATACATACATACATACATACATACATACATACATACATACATACATACATACATACATACATGGTGGGTACACATTCTCATTACACCTTCTGCTTCATTTCAGATTAATGTCCTCGTGTCACGGTAACAAGTCTGGTTGGGACCCCTACCCTTAGTGTCTGCACTGCTCAGATATAATATTAAGTTCAAGAACTTGGACTACTACATCTCCACTAGTCACGGCTGTTCCATCTTCTTCGGGCTGGAAACGCCCACCAGCATCTACCCATCTAAGATCGGCCTTCCCTGTGCCTCTTATATCTACGTTGATATATACTCCGGAGATGACAGAACTCCAATTGTCATTGATCAAACAGATGACTACGCCTATCTACACGTCGATGACCACCCTGACTCTGTGGCCAAGGAGTGCCAACGACCCAGAGATTGGCTTTGCCACAAGTGTACCACCTGAGGGATTCGCACTTGAGCAGCTACACGACGCCCAGGCGATTTAGGTGCCTCAGGGATGCTACAACCACCCTTGGTGCCAACAACCCAGGGACCCTTCCCGCAACCGAAACACACCTCATCAGGGCCAGTGCCACCGCTCTTGAGCAGCTACACGGAGTCACCGAGGCTCATGGCACCTCCGGGATGCAGACCTTCCATCTGATACAGATAAACAGTACATCCAGGCTCCCCTATCTGGATCCCTCCTTGATGCAGTCCATGTTCCAGCAAACCCCGGCCCAGGCGTGTATCAACGAGACACCATTGTTCCAAGCCTGCCCAAACCCCTGATGCTGAAGGATCTGGTCCCAGCATTGAACGAAGAATTTGCGATTTTATCGCTATCGTCAGTGTTCAAGGTTCCTCGGTGGAGGAAGAACACCTGTCCTATAGGTAAGGGTTCTGGAAATGTTCCCGCCAATTCTCCCTCCCTGATCAATGTTGGCTGAACGATGCCATGGAGAGGGCTATACTCAGTAAGGGTAAGATTTATGGATGAATTACAACTTCTATATTACAATTAGGAGTGACGTTTCTGTGTAGGTTCTTACACTGTTCACCGAAATGTCGCTCCAAATTGTAATAAAGAAGTTGTTCATCCATATATCTTATCCTTACTTAGTACTTCAACTTATCAATGCCTCTCGAAGAAGGCTACAGTACTTTCGAAGAATATCTTACCTGTGGCTTACAGTAGACATGATCTGCACCAAAAGATCACAACTTCATGACTGATTTGACATTTGACAGATTCGTCATATGGGTCCAGGTATCACCTTGGGATCATCATTCACAACACAGGATCAGATGAAACACTTGTCTGTCAACCGCACAGAGGATTGTCTGTGAGTGGAGCTTTAATCTCATCTTTGATTCTATGCGGGATTCCAGTTTACTGAGCAGGGTGATATGATGTCACGTGTCAAGAACTCTCTGACTGTAAACATCTCCGACCAGCATTAGGTCAGCTGACCTAATGGGAGCCGTGTAGTGCATTTGTACAGATTGGTTTGCATGCTTACTTGTACATAATGCTGCAACTACTTGTTCAAACGCCTGTCGCTGTACATCAATGTGGCCGAGTCACCAACTACAGTAGACATCTGATACCAAGACACCACGCCTCATCGTCCCACAATGCATGAACGGAAGCGCTTATACAACGCCAGGGGATTGAAATGATCACCTTACTACATACAGTACGATCTTTCAGACCAAGGAATTTTATACATTCAGCCTGATCTACGAGATACATGACCACAACCCGTCCGTCGCCCTCCAATGACTACACAGCGCAGTAACGAGGCGCCTCCCTTCATTATCACCTCGACATAAGAACGGGATTGCATATATGACTACCAGGGGATAGAAAGTATCACCTATACAGTGCAATTTTTCAGACCAACTTATAGTCAAAGCATAATTTTATCTAAGACTCTCCTGAAGTGGACGAGCTGAGGTCGACTACACTTGCGTCTGATCCAACAGCTCCTGGGAGTTGAAGGCTCTCAGAAGACATCACACTGGTGGGAGCACCTCCGGTACACTTAACCTGCAATCTCCTCGGACAACCTCACGGTGGTCTGGCGCCTGCGCCATCAAGGGCGACTCACTTCCTCCTTCAACAGTCATTCCGGTTCTTACATCAGATAGATTGGTGGGGTCTACGTGTTCTGTTCCAGCACACTCCCAGATGTCGCAATGTTCTGGCAGACAATAAAGACCAGACAAGAGAGCTCCCACTGAATGGAAACTCCTTCCAGACGCCTCGTTCTTATCTGTCGACACCTAGGCTTTCCCAACATCGACATGTTTGCAACCAGCCAAAATGTTCAGGCCCAGACCTTCATGTCTCCACTGCTGGATCCTCAGGGGCAGGGCTAAAAGCGTATGCTTTTTCTCTTCCAGTACCCTTTCCCCGGGTCCTTCAAAAGATCAGGTTGACCAAGAGCCTCGCTCTGACTTTGATAGTGCCTTGTGGCCTGTTGATCTCAAGGAGATGTCCGCCATCGACCCCCCTCAAACTCCCAGATTGGCCAAACCCGCTGATCCACCCTCACAGCAAATGGCCCCGACTGACTCCAGACTTGTTACATTTTTACGCCTAGTCCATCTTCAAAGAGCTCGAAGCACCAAGGGTCACTTAGCACAAGCAGTGAACGTAATCCCCTTGGTGCACAGATCTTCTACTTGGGGTCTTTATGATGACAAGTGGCACTCCCTCGAGAGTCTCAGCAAGGAGAAACCCCAAGACCCTGCCTAATTCTTTGCTGAATTTTGACTGTTATTGCACCACAAGCATCATCTGAAGGGCAGCACCATCACGACCTACCTTGTGGCCCTTAACTCTGTCTTGGCTCTTTCGGAAGATCGAAAGATGACCAAGATCCCAGAACTCCAAGCGTTGTTACACGCCTTTCATCTGGTAGACCAGATAGCCATGTTCAGCATTTGAGCCACTCCACTCAGCTTCTTACTACAACCTCACCAAGATGACGGTCTCCCTTTTGGCTCTGACAACAACAGCACCTGTGAGCAAACTACATCACCTGTCTTAGATTTGAGCACCGGAATCAACTCCCAGGACAGCTTGATAGAGCCTTCACCATCCCGCCCCTATCTTCGATAGTGGGGGTTGAAGATGGACAGGAACTTTGATGTCCGGTGTGGGCGCTGCAATGCTTCATTCGTTGCTCCTAGAATCGTTGAGGACAACATCGCCGGCTTTTCATCCCGGTATCTACAACATCACAGATGGAAGTCAGTCGCAACACGATCGCCCTATAGCTTCGCCAACAACCCGCACAAGATATGGGCGGTCGCCTCTACCATGGTGCTTCACAACTGCTCCAACCAACGCCATTATGAAAGGCTGCCTCTGGCGTTCAGACACACTCTTCACCAGCCACTACATGCAAGATATCGCCCTAGAAGACGTAGAAGGCGTTCACAGCTTTGACCCTTTGGTGGTTGCCCAGCAGGTCATTGCTGCAAGACGCCACTGACGCTTCCACATGTCCAGATAGGAGGTTAGATGCTGCACAAATTGGCTGTGTATGTCAGTTCTTGACTTTAAACGCTGTATAATTTCTATTACTGCAATGATACATGGACATCACGCATACCCGACTCTCTCCATCCCCGCCGACAGGATGGACACTCGATGCCGGACATCGCTGTTGCTGTTTGGTTGGAGTCTATGGAGAGTTTATTGAAGATCACATCTGAAAGTATGCCCTCCTCCGTGTCGTCCGATGCAGGTGCATAAAGGAGTAATGCAGGATAAGTTTTCAAAATTTTGTAAAATCCAAGATATTTTTTTATATTTGTATACTTTATTACTTCGTCTAAAGTGACCCACCCGTTGCAGAGCTGCCTCCCCACGATGTCTTCAGATGTTACGTGTGGCGTCATCACTTCCGTAGTCACTTTGGAGCGTTTTAATGGGATTAGCCACTCAACCAGATGTCAGCTTCTACAGCAAGATCTCAAA